TTAATCCCATGTAACCTCCACCCCTACCCTTACCCACATGTAACCTCCTCCCTACTCTTACTCACATGTAACCTCCACCCTACTCTTAGTAACCTCTACCCCTACACTTACTCCCTGTGACCTCCCCCCTACCCTTACTCCACCCTACTCTTAGTAACCTCCTTACTCACATGTAACTTCCTCCCTACTATTACTCTCTAGTAACCTCTACCCCTACCCTTACTCCCATGTTATCTCAACCCCTATCCTTATTCCCCTGTGACCTCATTCCCTACCCTTACTCCCTTGTAACCTCCACCCTACTCTTAGTAACCTCTACCCCTACACTTACTCCCTGTGACCTCCACCCTACCCTTACTCACATGTAACCTCCACCCTACTATTACTCTCCAGTAACCTCTACCCCTACCCTATTCCCTTTAGCTTCAACCCCTACCCTTACTCCCTGTGACCTCCACCCTACCCTTACTCACATGTAACCTCCACCCTACTCTTAGTAACCTCTACCCCTACCCTTACTCCCTGTGACCTCCACCCCAACCCTTATTCCCTGGAACCTCCACCCCTACCCTTATTCCCTGTGACCTCCATCCCTACCCTTACTCCCATGTAACATCCACCCCTACCCTTACTCCCATGTAACCTACACCCTACTCTTAGTAACCTCTACCCCTACCCTTACTCCCTGTGACCTCCACCACTACCATTACTCCCTGTGACCTCAACCCCTACCCTTACTCACATGTAACCTCCACCCTACTCTTACCCTCCAGTAACCTCTACTCCTACTCTTATTCCCTGCAGCCTCTACCACTACCCGTACTCCCTTAACCTCCACCCCTACCCTTAGACCCCTGTAACCTCCACCCCTACCCTTACTCCCATGTTATCTCAACCCCTACCCTTATTCCCCTGTGGCCTCCACCACTACCCTTGCTCCCCTGTAACCTCAACCCTACCTTTACACTCCTGTAACCTTTACCCCTACCCTTACTCACATGTAACCTCCACCCCTACCCTTACCCCCTGGAACCTCCACCCCTACCCTTATTCCCTGTGACCTCCATCCCTACCCTTACTCCCATGTAACCTCCACCCCTACCCTTACTCCCATGTAACCTCCACCCTACTCTTAGTAACCTCTACCCCTACCCTTACTCCCTTTGACCTCCACCACTACCATTACTCCCTGTGACCTCAACCGCTACCCTTACTCACATGTAACCTCCACCCTACTCTTACCCTCCAGTAACCTCTACTCCTACTCTTATTCCCTGTAGCCTCTACCACTACCCGTACTCCCTTAACCTCCACCCCTACCCTTACACCCCTGTAACCTCCACCCCTACCCTTACTCCCATGTTATCTCAACCCCTACCCTTATTCCCCTGTGGCCTCCACCACTACCCTTGCTCCCCTGTAACCTCAACCCTACCTTTACACTCCTGTAACCTTTACCCCTTCCCTTACTCCCCTGTAACCTCCATCAATATCCTTGCTCCCCTGTAGCCTCCATCCATATCCTTACTCCCCTGTAACCTCCATCCATATCCTTACTCCCCTGAAACCTCCATCCATATCCTTACTCCCCTGTAACCTCCATCCATATCTTTATTACCCTGTAAACTCCATCCGTATCCTTACTACCCTGTAACCTCCATCCATTTGCTTACTTTTCTGTAATCTCCACCCCTACCCATACTCCCCTGTAACCTCCACCCTACTCTTACTCCCCTGTAGCCTACACCACTACCCTTATTCCCTTGTAATCTCCACCCATACCCTTATTCCCCTGCAATCTCCACCACTACTCTTACTCCCCTGGAACCTCCACCCCTACCCTTACTTCGCTGGAACCTCCACCCCTACCCTTACTTCCCTGGAACCTCCACCCCTACCCTTACTTTACTGGAACCTGCACCCCTACCCTTACTCCCCTGTAATCTCCACCCTACTCTTACTCCCCTGTAATCTCAACCCCTACCCTTACTCCCCTGTAGCCCCAACCACTACATTTATCCCCTGTAATCTCCACCCTACTATTACTCCCCTGTAATCTCCACCCCTACCCTTACTCCCCTGTAACCTCCACCCCTACCCTTACTTCCCTGGAACCTCCACCCCTACCCTTACTCCCCTGTAGCCTTCACCCCTACACTCACTCCCCTGTGATCTCCACCCCTAATCTTACTCCCCTGTGATCTCCACCCCTACCCTTTCTCCCCTGTTACCACCACCCTTTCCCTGTAACCTCCATGCATACTTACCTTAACTCCCCTGTAATCTCCACCCCTACCCTTACGTCCATGTAACATTCCCCTCTACCCTTACTCCCCTTTAACCTTCCTCTTCTTTCCTTACTCCCCTGTTTTCACCACCCTTACCCTGTAACCTCCATGCATACTTACCTAAACTCCCCTGTAACCCCCACCACTACCCTTACTCCCCTGTAGCTTCCACTACTCTGTAACATGGATTATCTTCCCTTACCTTCTTGTTACCTCTAAACTTGCTAAATGCTCATTTTCGTTCCTGATTGTAGCCTATTTGGTGTACACTGTTGAAATGTTTAATTAGGGTATGTTAAAGAAAGATAACAATATAAAGTTTGAATGGCAGGTGATCGGATTTCTTTTTATGTAAACTGTGACATCTCCTTGAATTTACAGTGAAGACTGACGTATACTGTTTGTAGTACGGTGTGTTGTATTTCTTACTGTAATACCCAGTGATTTTTTTTTCATTTAGACTTATTATTAAACTTAAAATTTATGTCATGGAGCGAGATAACTATTACCACTTCATTCCTACCCCGAACCCTACCCCTTACTTCAGAACTTTTTTGACTTATCATGTCATTGCGCTACATGTGTTTTCTAAAAGAAATCTAGCAAGGAATTGAAATTCGTTGCAGTCATAAGCTTAATTTTAACCAACATCTGAGCTAATAGTTATTAATTTTTCAGTCTAGTTTAAACGATCAATTTTGTCATATTCGGTCTATCCTTTACAAAATCGAAATTATGTTTTGAACGCCAAAGGTTCAGTCGCAACTCGGGTGATTAAGCAAAGAATACGGGAAATAGAAAAATCTGTTTTCGCTTGGTTCGCTTAACAGGAGGTGCATTTTACATAAATTAAATAAACTGTTACGTTTAATCTAAAGACAAAAATAAGAACAGTTCTTAGACTGTACGTGTGTGGAGAAAAACCCAACAACAAAACCCACCAAACAGAGCCTATGGCAAGCCAAGTTGTCATTTATTCAACCAAATTATATAAGATATCTCATATATTATATAAGATATCTTATATATTATATAAGATATCTTATAAAAGATATGATATCTCATTTAATTTTCTTTATAAGATATCTTATATCTTTTATGAGATATCTTATAAAGAAAGGTATATAAGATATCTTATAAAATATATAAGATATCTCATTTATTATATAAGATATCTTATAAAGTATATAAGATATCTCATAAAGTATATAAGATATCTTATATAATTAAATTAGATATCTTATATAATTTGGTTAAGTACTGGATCAACATTGCTCCATGAATAAATGACAACTTGGCTTGCCATAAGAGCCTGAAATAGTCTTGCTCAAGTCCGAGAATTATTCAACCAACAGTTTGCTAGTCAAAGGTAATACAGGATGTTACTGTAGAGATTCAGCATAGAATATGTAATCTGAACGTAGAAAGTATTGGCTGCCAATGCAGATTGAAAGTGTAGTATATTTTGTGTTCCATTTTAACACATTATTTGTCATACAAAAAAACAAACAATAAACAGACACACGGTATCACAACTTAAAAGTGCGGCCATTATTGGTCGTTTTAATTCTCCATATTAGTATATGATAAGGTATGACTAGACTCGTCTTTACACTGGCGAGTAAAATATAATTTAATGAAAAGCGGTATTATCTGTGTCCACGTGGATTCTGCTTTAAAATATGACGTCATCTGATTATGAAATATGACGTCATTCAATTGTTTTGATAATGAAGTCACAATACAATTACTACTCACATTTGTTGAAACTTGTTAATTAATATGACAAGTCCGCAATATATATGCGCGCACATTTATCTAAGCTACCGACTGGTATTCGGATGCATTTATGGTTTTTCTATGGAATACAAATTAAAACATACAGAGCTCAGGTCAATGAATTATTTGAATGAAACACCTTAGTGTATTTTTTTTAATTTATCTATTAATGTGTTGGCTGATACAGTATCATGAAACAAAGAATTGTTTCATTGAAAAGAAAAAGTAAAAATCCAAAAACGATATTCTTTAAAAATAACCCAGGTCAGAGTCGTTATAATATTGCATACACATGTCTTTAAATGAAAGCACGTATTACACCAGGCTTTTACCATCATATGGTATGTTGTACAAAGTATGTCTTATGTTCATTACATTATTTCCTTGATATTTATATTGCAATAAAATAGTTAAAATTACACAACTTTTGTCTTTGATTTGCTTAAAACGAAAACAAACAAATGAAGTTTATTATTCATTTATAAATAAAAGACACATATATGAAGAAATTGGCAAATTTAATTGATTTAAATAGGAAATGAAAATATTGGAGCTACAGAAATGACAGTAGACGTCTTGTTAAGAGTGTTCCTTAGTCAGTTAATATATACATTTTAAAGACTGAAATTGATTACTTTGATTTAGTTTGATTAAATAACTTTATTTTTTAATTTGCAATATCTGCTTTTATCTAAGAATTTGCGAAAAACATGCTGTATCGCAAATAGAACCTGCTAATAGCTGTCTACTGCAGTGTGTCTTTTCAAAGTGTATATTGTTTATTGGCAGTGCCATGTGAAGAGATGTGTGGTCTATTTTTAGAAACAAGGTCACTGGAGTATTGCCACATAAAAGCATGTTCGCAGTTTCCTCAAAGAGTCACGTGATCGTTGTAATCCAATCATTATTAGAGTGTTGTTTATCTGTAAACAATTTGTTTGTTTGCTCCATGCTACAACGTTGGTGAACCCCGCAGACATAGGATGCCATCTTTGAAAGAACTATTGATGGAGAGAAGATAACAAGGGACAAAGAGGGGCACGGGAATGTGCTATCGAACACGGAAGAGGTGGTGTCCGTGTTTTGACTGAAGCGGTGACATTTCTTTGTGATAAAAAATATTTTTTAGCGACGGTTTTAAAATTATTTCTGGATATAACAGGATATTTCTACCTTGCTACCCCGGGCCGATAGTGGATCGGTCTACGGTAAGTTCACATACACTTGGTCTGTGTGTAACGTTGTTGTATCCATTCATGAATCGTGTTGGTACAGTAATTTAACGTGTTCATATAGCACTTAAACGCTGATTTGTGAGCATAAAAGCTATATTTCGATGGATTTCAACTTGACTGTGTGTACGAGGTGTAACTGTGATTGTTGATATCAGAAAGTTCAGTAACGGATGCAGGAACCGCCATATAAACCGGACATAATTTTCAAAATTCCTCTGTTTACACGTGGTTGTATTATGTAAGTAAGATATATCGAAAATACAAAACAAATATGACTATTTATTTGGGTGAAAATGGGCATTGACTTGATTTCAAAATGGCCGCTCGTGGATTCACTTGAATTATTCAACGTTGTGATAAGAACAATGCTAATTAGTAGATAACAGCGTTATGTACGATAACGTAATCAGCTGATTGATTATTGGTCGTTAAAATGCTTGTTTATTAATCTACAGTGCACATCAATTGTTCAATTCTATGTTGGTGTATTGTTCATATGGCAAGGTTAAAATGCGGATGCCATCGGGTCATCGGGCGTCTTGCACGCTAAAAATTGACAAGTGTCGGTCACTAGCCTCGTTTTGATTTTCCGTGAAACGTGATCTGACTGCCTAATTTGCATCAGGTAATAAATATAAAGCACTTGACGTCAAAAACTGATGTGTGTGCTGCATCCTCAGTGTACGCTGCATTCAACACTGTCTGTAGGATTCTGTTGTAAACTCAACTGTGAGGTAGGGGGGTGGGGACCCGCCATCTTGATAATCCCCAGGGGTGAGGGTCGCCTCGTGCATTACTGCATTGAAGCGTGAAGTTGTAAGTATGTCATGTAGCATATCTAAATACTCGCAGTGACGCGTACTTCACAAAGAGAAAACAACTTTGCCTGCCGTAGGCATGGTAATTTTAGAATAAAGCCATACATCAGAAACACGTTTGACAAGATAAGACCTGCTTGAATCTACTATTGAAAATCAATAAAACCAAACAAAATTTAAACACCATTCGTGTTCAAGGTTTGTATTGTGACTATTGATGTTGTCATGATTTTAACAAGTATAATTTGAGGGTTTTAATAATATGATTGTTACTTTCAGTCATCTATAGCCATTGATATTAGAGGAGCTTCTAAAGTAATTATAATGGTCCAAAATTCAATAATGCTTCACACTTGTATTTTGTTATAAAAACAAACATTTTGAAATAGGTTTTCAAGTATAAGTATTTAGATTAGGAAATGGTCTACTTGTATAGCCCAACCTGTATTTTCATAGTAATGAGAATTTTCACTAGGCCTGACATAAAATTAGCTAGCCTATGGCGACAAGCTAGTGGAATTGTACACCCCTGTAATGGGATGACCACATACTGCAGACTCTGAAAATATTGATCAGGATACATATCAAATTGTGAAATATTTCTCAATTGTCTGTTCAAGGTTTCTATGCACTTTACCATGATGTATCTTCTACTTCCAGGTTATAATCAAGACAAAATGGCATCCACAGAGGAACTCGCCACTGAGGATATAGACAGTAAACCAGATCAGGAATCTACTAGTCATGATGGGTAAGTTTACAGGTCCAGCCAGAGACGACATTACAGTCTGAAGTGAAAAAAAAAAGAAACACATTCTTCATTCGTTGCTTTTCCAGTGTGCTAACTTGGCCTAATTGTTGATGGCATTTTGTTATCAACTAGCATTGGCTCTTCCGTTCACAAGCTTCACTATATTTTACAGTTACTGTTTTACTGAACTTGAATCACCTTATACAGTACAGGTCCAGTACACTCTGCTGATTGAGCTATATAGCTATAAAGACATATATAGCTATATTCACCTATTATTTATAGCTGTATGGAGGGAGCTATATTTTATCAGATTTCAATTTTCATTAAATTAAAGCAAAGTCGCATAAAACAATAAGGTTTATGGTAATGTTGATTACAAAAAGCATACAAAGCGACTTTGTTTCATTTTCCTTAAAAAAGAAAATTGCATGAAAATAGCTCAAAAGACCTATTTCAGATAGGTCAATAGAGCTATTTAGGTCTCTACAGCTATATAGCTCTATCGGCAGAGTGTACTGGACCTGCAATATGTAGCCCACATATTCTTTATCGAAGACTGATCACAGTAAAATAATACAGCAAATCTAAATTCAATTGCCAAATTTGATGTTTTTACTTTTACACTGACTTCTTCAAGCAAACCTTGGATTAGACCATTAAGAATATCACCGTTCCGGTGGAGATTTCTCTGTAAAGCCAGTATGGGAAGTTTATAAATCTTGTGTGCATAAATACATGCATGAAAAGATCTCTTTTGTTGTGTGATAAACCAGCTTACTTCTCCTTTAATGATAAGGTAAATAGTAATGGTGTCGATACTGGAATAGTGTACCATACAATCAGAATTTACTCCTAATCACCAGTGAAACTGCCTTCTTCACTCTTTGCTACGTCATCGGTGTACAATGCCACTAGTCAATCTTGACTAGTAGACTTTCTGTCTGTGCTTGGGCAAACTTTTAATATTTACTATAAAAATCGAAGATTGGGCGAGTAGAATTATTCAAAACCTGATATTGGACAGCCCTGTATATATGTTATACATGTAAGTTGCTTACATTTATTTTACGACAGTTTAGAATTAGTACCTAGTCCGGTTACTATTACTCTGTTCATTGATGAAAATATGTACCGAAAAATTCAAGTCATTTACTATTTATTTTGTTTCATGCACATCAACTGGCAAAGAATATCTTTGTACAAATTAAGTTAAATCAAGCAGACCGATACATAAAAAGTGCTCTTCTCAAATGCAGCATTAAGTAGTAATAAAAATGTTTATTGTTTTCATTGCAGAGATGCTGAGTTAGAGACTGTCCAGACAAATCGGAAGATATCTTTAAGTGACACAGAAACGCCTGATGATCAACCAGAGAAAAGGTTAATTTCCTTTCATGATGCAGTTATCACAATGTCCATCATTCTGTCCACATTTTGTTTCCAGAGATTATCTCTAATAAGAAGTCACAAATTTCAGAAAACTTATTTGTAGTATGTAGATGTGAAAAGTATGTAGCCCACATATATTCTTTATCAAAGACCGTTCGAAGTAACATAATACAGCAAATCTTAATTCAATTGCCAAACTTGGTGATTTTACTTCTATAATAATACTGACTTCTTGAAGCAAGCCTTGGATTAGACCATCAAGAATATCACCCTCCCGTTGGAGATTTCTCTGTAAAACCAGTATGGAAAGTTTATTAGTCCTCTACAAGTGAAACAGGGTTGTGGGGGGGGGGGGGGGGGGGGGGGGGGACTACTATAGTTTTCCTCTCCGTCCGTCTGTGTACCTACATACGTAACACCAATGTTTGTCAGCACTCTAGTGGCTTCATCTGAGGGATTTTGATCAAACTTCACACAATTACAAAGGACCATAATATCTCAAAGAAGTTAGAGTTTCAGGGTTGTTGGGTCAAGGTCCCCGATAATAATTTTAGAAAATCCTTGTCTGCGCTCTAGCGGCTTCATTCCTTGAGGGATTTGGATCGAACTTCACACAATTACAAAGGACCATAATATCTTGGACAAGTTTGAGTTTCAGTGTTGTTGGGTTAAGGTCAATGTCACTGTTACTATTTTAAGACAATCCTTGTTTGCGCTCTAGCGGCTTCATTCCTGAAGGGATTTTGAACAAACTTCATACAATTACAAAGGACCATAATATCTCAAACAAGTTTGAGTTTCAGGGTTGTTGGGTCAAGGTCCCCGATAATAATTTTGGAAAATCCTTGTCGGCGCTCCAGCGGCTTCATACCTTGGGGGATTTTGATCCAACTTCACACAATTACAAAGGACCATAGTTTCTCAATAGCTAGCGGGGGCTGGTAGGGGACATGTGTTGCTTTAGCGTATGCTTGTTAATCTTGTGTGCATAAATACATGCATAAAAAGATCTCTTTTGTTGTGTGATAAACCAGCTTACTTCTGAACCTGCCTTCTTCACTCTTTGCTACGTCATGGGTGTACAATGCCACTAGCCAATCTTCACTAGTAGACTTTCCGTCTGTGCTTGGGCAAACTTTTAATATTTACTATAAAATCAAAGATTGGGCAAGTAGAATTATTTAAACCCAGATATTGGACACCCCTGTATATATGTTATACATGTAAGTTGCTAATGTTTTGTGACACAGGAGTAGTTTTAGGCATGGTCCTCATTACAATTTAGAGTCAGTACCTGCTCTTCCTCAGTTCAATGAGAAGAATATATAAGAACTGAGAAATTCAAGCCAGTTACAATGAATTTAGTTCAAGCACATCTAATAATACAGAATGACCGAAAATATAAATTAAGTTTAATCAAGCAGATACATCTCAAACTCCCTTCTCAAATACTGCACTAAGAAGTGATAAAGATGTTTATTGTTTTCATTGCAGCGATGCTGAGTTAGAGACTGTCCAGACAAAGCGGAAGAGATCTTTAAGTGACACAGAAACGCCTGATGATCAACCAGAGAAAAGGTTAATTTCCTTTCATTCTGTCTGTCTGTGTGGCCACATTTTGTTTCCAGAGATTAGCTCTAAATTAAGAAGTCTCAAATTTCAGAAAATTTGACTGTAATATGAAGATGTGAAATTGGGGCTCAACAAGTTTGTAAGGCCAATGCCACTGTCGACAAAAATATAACAAGGGATTTGCTGCTGATAGACTGGTCGACAGAAGAAACAAAATGGTCATTAGATCATGATTTTTGATACAGGACCAATAAAACCAGTCGCTGGTCATATTGTTTAGGTGGTCACTATACACTGTCATATAGTAAAATGCTTTGGAATGTTTCAAATAGTAGTTATAGACAGAGGGTTGCTAGGACAGTTAACTGTAGAGCGACCAAGTAGAAAATAGAAAAGTCAATACCCTTTGTTTGCAAAAGGGAGAGTTGCAGATAATATGTCGCCCATCAAGATAAATGTCCCCAAAGCAGCAGACACTCCCCTGATTCTACATAGAGACCCACACATAATGGTTTGTTGTAGTGGTATACCGATTATCGGAAACATCGATTAAAATCGACTGTGAAAAAGACAGTTGTTATGTGTAATTCTATGTCAAATATTGCGTAAATTCCCGCTTGAACCATGTCCACATTCAAACGTCACGTAGTCAATGTCGGTGGTCAGTGAATATGGCAAGAAACTTACGACAAGCACCTTGTTACCTCACCTTCCCATCGACAAATTACCCACATTTTCAAAGTTCAGATTTTGATGACATTTAGCATTCATACATAAGTCATAACTTTTAATGTTAACAGATTAAAAAAAAAAACCTTTTTACAAATCCATGATAAATTCTGCATTATGTCGTGCAATAATGGATTAATAATGATTTTTCCTAAATAATAGTGATCTAACTTGAAGCAGATGCAACATCTGCACCGACATTATATTTTGGGTGGTTTATATAAAAATGATATTGTATATGGTAATAAGTGGAATTGCTTTTCGTTGCGTCACTTGTATTCGTTTAGTATAATACATACATCCGCTTTTTGTATCAACCGAAACCGCCATATTTAAAAGCTAGTAAAATGAAGCTAGCAGGAGTGGTTTTCGTGATAAATGATTATACATATGCTATGTTATAGTGATTGGAGCATTCAAATGGGGGTAATTAATACCTAAACTGTGAGTACACCTAGTTGTCATCAAGTTTTGAGTCAAAACAGAGATATAATTGAATCCTTCCTCCGCCTAGATTTCGGAAACGAGCATTTTCTCATCAGTAGATACAAATTACATCAGATAATAAATCGTCCGGCCTCTTATGTTACACAAGTAGGTCATTTTAACCAATAATCGATTATCGATCTTAATAATTACTTCACTGTCACTAACCTTAATACTTTCCTTGGTCAGTACAAGTACCGGTATAATTCGACAGTGGTTAGATCAGAGAGATAGTTTCTTTTGTTGCATTGCTATGTACAAAACGGTCAGACAAACACTGGACACCAGTATTTATAATCATACAGTAAACAAGGAAGGGATTGTCATTATATCCTTGAAGGATGGGGCCATAGGCAATGTGCACATCCAAAATGACCAATATATAATGTTAAACTAAGTATAACTTTTTCGAAAAAAGCTACAATATAATTTTTCTAAGAGTTTCAAAAAATATAACATTGTGGCATTCACATGTATTTGTGAGAACAATCTTTACATTCATGGCATATGAAGGTACATAACGGAATAACTTTAAAATTGTTTTTAAATGAAGGAACGTGGATGATTCATTTGTCTTTAAAACTTAAGTTACAAAAATGTTATGCAAGCAAAATTTGACTTTAAAATCCAAATCAGACTGATCAACTCATTTCATAATCAAGAAAACAGGGTCTGAGCAGTTTTGTCACTATGGCAGTACCTGGTGATTTGTCAAATTCCACTCTATCATGCTCATCTGTGACCAGCTACTTTTCTGTCATACATTTAAACATATAGTAAGTCTTGGAATGTCATTAAATTCATTACAAATGACAGATGGAGTACCCAGTGGCTTCTGATTGGCGGTAAAGACTAATGAACTCTAAATATTGTACAGTTTATTGTGATGTTAACATTTATAAATACCTCCGTGTTATAACAAGATTAGAAAGGTTCGTTATTGAGTTTAATTCATGAATACAGTATATAATGTATTAATTAATAGTTATTGTCTGGTTGATTGCATTAAAGAATGATTTTACTCTTTTTCAGGACAAAGTCTGAAGCTACTGATGAAGAAGATGAAAGCGGAGGGGTTGCTGGTACGAAGATGGACAGCTCCGATGACGTGAAGTGCAATGTTAAAGATAAGGATGATGTTGAAAATGTTAAAGACATTTTGAAGGATGATGTTGATAATGCTAGGGAAATCAAAGATGATGAGAAAGAGGAGGACAGTATACAAAGTGATTTAGATAACGATACAACAGAGGAACCAAGTGGTGAAAAGGAAGACGAAAAAATTCCAAGTGATTCTATTAAGGATACCTCTTGTGATGAAAAAGATGAAAAGGACGAAAGTGTACCAAGTGATGATAATGATAAAGAAAAGGAAACTTGTGATTCAGATGTAGAAATGAATGATAAAGAAAAGGAAACTTGTGATTCAGACGTAGAAATGAATAAAAGTAAGGAAAGTGGTGCTAACGGGAACGATGAGGGTGATAAAAAAAGTTCAGAGGAAAAGACAGTGACAACAAATGGTGATGAATCCGGAAAAAGTGTTAATTTAGCCTCGAAGGATGAGAAAAAATTAAACGAAAATGGCGAATCTTTGTCTAACAATGTACCACACCGATCGCGTAAACGTCCATCTCTGCCCTCTGAAGTAAAAGTAAACGGTGTCAGTGACAGTAAAATGGATGATGATGCATCAACAGGCAAATCTGAGGACAGTGAAAAGGAAAATCGTAGGTTAGATATGGACATTCCCATGGATCTCAGTACCAAGTCTAACTCCACAACAAATGGCAATGACATCATCATGTTGTCAGACTCGGAATCTGAAGAGGAACCTTTGATGATGAATGGAGATTTTATTGAACCGAGTCCGAGCGAAATCCTTAAAAGACGTAAAGCCATTAAACAATTTGAATCTGAATTACGTAATGAGGAAGCCAAACTAGTGCTGTTGAAAAAGCTTAAGCAGAGTCAAGTGTCCCATCAATTGCAGGAACATACAAGTGTTAATAACAAGCAGCCTGCAGTGAAACAGTCTAACGTGTCTCAGCCCCCACCTTTAGTACGTGGCAGTCAGCAGCAGCAGCAGCAACAGCAGCAACAACAGCAACCCCAGGCACGCCCTGCCCATGCTCACAGTCAACCCCCACAGCTCATGAGGGGCAACCAGATGCCCCAGTCCAGTAGGTCACATCAGCAGGGGCCTCCTCCTCTGGTGAATATGGGCAGTGGACAGCGTATCGACAATCGCCGGATGCCACACATGGGTTACCAGGGTGGCCTCGTCCAAGGACAGTCACATCAGTCCCATGGAAGTCATGGCAGTATCATGTCCAACTACCGACAGAATCAGAATTCTCAGGCGGCACAGGCAGCACAAGCAGCTGCTCAGGCAGCTCGCGAAGCTAGGGAAGTAGACAATCAGACGCCGGCCCAGCGTCAGGCCGCAGCCAAAATGGCTTTGAGGAAACAACTGGAGAAAACCCTCCTACAGATTCCTCCACCCAAGCCTCCACCGCCAGAAATGAACTTTATTCCTAGTCTAGGGAGCCCAGACTTTATATCGTTGCTCGGATTAGAGGAAGCTGTCAATTACATCATTGATGCTGCTCTTATATCAAAAGGACAGAAAAATCCTGATGAGAAGATGGTATGTAATCCATTTACATGTATTCAGTGTAACACAGACTTTACTCCTGTGTGGAAGCGTGAGAAAGCAGGGTCCAAGAATGTGATTTGCGAGAACTGTGTAACAACAAATCAAAAGAAGGCACTTAAACAGGAGCACACAAATCGCCTCAAGAGTGCATTTGTGAAGGCTCTTCAACAGGAGCAGGAGATTGAAAGGATGCAGTCCCAAACACCCCAATCCTCGTCTAACAACGCAAATGCTTCCTCTAATTCCTCGTCATCATCCTCTTCCCTGCAGCAGCAGCAGCAGCAACAACAACAGAGCCATACAACAGCCAATTCCTCGAACAGCAGTGGCAGCAGCTCTCTGTCCTCAGGGCCACCCCCGTCCTCCCTTCCCTCGTCGGTGTACAAGGCGACGTCCGAGACGATCCGCCAGCATCAGAACTTTATACAGGCACACCAGGCTGCAGCTGCACATCAGACTGCTCTGAGGATGGGCCAGCCACTTGGTATGGCTCCATTTGCGGCTGCAGCAGCTGCAGCACGAGGGGCATTCCCCTATCAAATTCCATATGGGGCCAAGCCGTCGGACTTGCAACTCCAACGACAATATCTCTTGGACATGATTCCTAACAAGGGGGCCATGTCATGGAGACCATGAATTGATAGTGTGTAGATTTATCACCTGCGATTTCTTGTCTCTTCTATTAAACTGCTTATCTTATAACTCTTTAACTGAAGCATTATGTATGGGTCTTCATTTACAAAGAAGATTCTAAATAATAAAATTGAACTTGTCATGACACTGAAGTTGTAAAAGTGCATCAGTATTTTTTCGTAACTGTAATAAGATGATTTGGCCACATTCCTTTTTTGACCTTTTGGACGGCCATGGTCTCACTATATAAATATATATAGCTAATTGCCTATTCAGTAGAATTGGATGGTCTAAGACTTAGTCTGTCTATCAGAATTTGTGCAACACCTACGTACTGTATTTAATAGAATGACCTGCTTTCGAAACATGCATAATATCATTCCCGTACTGTTTCAAAGAAAAATAATTTCTTTTTTCGGAATGGACTACATGTTTACTCATTCTGTATTTTGTTTGAAAAGCTTGATCAAGATTTTTCAGAAAAAAAAGGTTTTTTTGTTGATAGATTTTTCTCAGTGCTGTGAAATGAGATCCATTTCCATAGTTCAAACTCAAAACAACGAAAGATTTTCTCGTTTTCATCTAGTGCATTGTAAAGGCTTATTGTTTTCATACATACAATGTACATAAGCATTTATTTGTAAGTGAAGTTTGCAACTCTTGCTTTTTATCATTAGATCGGATAAAAAACAAATTTAATTTCCAGTTTTAATTTCATAGAAACCTGAGCACTAGTCATATATTTGTACAGCCAGATTGTGTGGTTTGAGTTTTAAACAGTTTCCATGCACAAGTAAATTGTGGAATAATGTAACTTGTGTTTATGTATCATGCATTGAAATGCTCACTCTTTCACATTAGAGATTTATATTACTGCCATCATTGAAACAACCTGTTACTTAGTGACTTGGAAATCTTCATTTGTTTGTTACAATCATAATCATGTTATAATCTCTGTTTTGAAAACACAGTGTCCTGTTTAACAAGTTTAATTTTCATTCATTTACTTTGCTGAAAGTTTTTGTTGGAGTAACCGTAATTGCTTAAAATTCTTGTTAGACAAGTCGTAAATACATTGGTATCATGCATTCATGTATATGAGTGAAAGCTTCAGGTTAATTTATCTTCAATTTCTTTTTATATATATTAATGAAACATTTTGTAAAACATTGTAAAAGAAAAAGCAGGAAAACATGTACCTCATCTGATCACTGATGGTAATCTAAGGACAGCAGGGAATTATGTAGATTAGACTTTGGTCATTGCTTGTGAAGTTCTCCCAGTGTGTATGAAGTTGTAACATGTTGACCCCTCCTTCACCTCGTAGGAACACCCCCTTCCCAGTCACCGTCAAAGGAGAGCTGGTCTCGACTTCTGATATTTCAATTAATCATGGTGTTAAGATCTTTGCAATATTCATCATGTTTAATAAACTATGTATTAAGTTATATAAAGGAAATCTGAGGACGTGTTTTGCCAAAAGTAACCTCAGATCCACATTAAAATGAGATTTTCTGTCGTGTTGTTTGAAGTATTTTGGATGGACAATGAATATTGAATTGTACATAGAACTTGTTAAGGTATTTCACGTCACCGTTTGAAGGGTGTATGCAGTGCGACCTTGTTATGTATACAGAGGACCTGGCATGGTAGTCATGTATATCTAACCGTGTACCAGTAGTATAAAGCAATGCCAAACTTTACAAGTTTTAAAAGGGGAGGAAGGTACTGCAGACCAAGATTTTCAGATTTGTGTACATGTGTGTAGGTGTTTTTTTTTATAAGGATTGAATATCCTGACCGTATAGTGCTTGTTTAATTAAAATTGGCATACAACTTGCAGGGTAGGTAGGATTACCAGAATCACTTATAATTTACTCTAATACCACGACTGTTCGAGACACTGCTACTAGTGCTACAGACACTGGTCTTGTATGTATATGCATCTTTTTTCTCAACAGTTCATGTCAATTACTCTAGGTCCTGGCACAAATATCAACAGGAGTTATTGTACCTGGATTGGTGTTCAGGTTAAAACGGCTAGTAGTGTTTAATAGGCCCTTTAGTTTCATGTCTTCAAATACAAAGGAAAAAAGTTTCCCTGGAGCAACAGAACCGAGAATTTAGTGCACCACAAAAATGGTCTGGATGATTGTCCACCTTGATTCTCTGCTGTTCACGTGTATAAGAAGAGACTGTTGTCACTTCATAAAACCAGAACTAGGGGGTTATTAATTTCCATGTTTAACTTATTTGACTAAAGGGAAATAACCAACTTCATTTTGGAAAGCGATGAAAGTGGCAAATTAATAAAAAAAATGACTCGCTCGCAGGTGTATGGATATTTTGTTTAAACTGTTTCGGTTTAAATCTTAATAATGGTTGTATGCAAATCAAAACTAGTATTTATTATTAAACTCCCTGCTGTTTGGGTGCATTTTGTTTGATTTGCAGTACTGTGAAAGACAGCTGGTTTTCGTTGTGTGGAGAAAGCACCTGTTACAACATCAGCATATCTTTCTAGCCATTCATGACATAACTTGGTCCTTTTCTGGAGTTTGTTGTTGTGTTCAAGACACAAGTGTCGCATATTTGTACTTTACCAAACTGTATAGAAATTGTTATTTAATGACAAACATTGTAAAGTAAATGTTTGAAAATCAATTTCTTGACGTTTGTTTTGTTTTTAGCTCACCTGGTCCAAAGGACCATTGTGAGCTTATGCCATACCGCAGAGTTCGTCGTCCGTTGTCCGATGTCAACTTTTCCTTTAAAATGGTACTAGTCCTGAATGGCCAAGTAGATTTTGACTACAGGACTATGTATGGTTTGGGCCTGTTTTGGCCCCCAAATGGATCAAAATTCAAAACCTTTAAATGAACTTTGAAATGACTGTTTCTTTAATTTAGAATACTTCCCAAATACTATTATGAAAACGTTTATTTATATTACTAATTATTGTTGCCATGGTAACAAGTTCAAATTTGCAAAAATTAGAAAAAAATGAATATTCAGTGCATATTGTGATATTTTGCAGTTTTTCTCCTAAAAACTATAGAGTGCATGCTTGAACAAACTTAATATCAAAGGATAATGTGTAAGCATCTGTAATACATCTTTAGGTGAAATATAAAGTTTGTTCAAGAGTGCGCTCTATGGTACCTAAGAGAAAAACTAGGTGAAAACCTGTCAAAATTAATCAAATTTCAATAATTTATGCAACTATGACCTGGTTACCATGGCAGCCAAAATTGAAAACACATAAATGTTCAAAATTAAAAAACATTCGTTTGAAAGTTCTATTGCAGATATTTAATTTTGATGGATTTGGGGGCCAAAACATAGTGTCCTTTAGTTTGGAGCATCCTCGGGCCAAGGGGACTCAATTTTGTATAAATGCTGGGTGTGGTCCAATTCCGTCTATGCTTATTGCCGAGTTATCTTCTCTTGGGAGCAGGTATTGATTGTTACGACATTGGTCTGTGCGAGGAAATTACGTTGTTTTCTCAAAAATTGATGACGTTACTCTCACAAACAAGTGACGTACCAATCAATACCTGCTCCCAAGAGAAGATAACTCTGCAATACGCAAAGACGGAATAGGGGAAATAGAGGTAAAACCTTTAAACCATAGGGATTAAGGGATAATATCCTAATTTAGTCTGGAGCATCCTTGGGCCAAGGGGACTCTTATTATGTTTAAATGGTGGGTTTGGCCCTCCTTGGGGCAGCCAAAATTAAAAACACATAAATGTTAGCATAATAGTACTGGGGAAGTATTCAAAATCAGAAAAACATTCATTTGAAAGTTCTGTTGCAGATTTTTAATTTTGATGGATTTGGGGGCCAAACCATACCTAGTCCTTTAGTCTGGAGCATCCAAGGGCCAAGGGGACTTTATTATGTATAAATGGTGGGTGTGGCTCTCCTTGGGGCAGAGCTGAATAGGGGAAATGGAGGTAAAAACCTTCAAAATCCTTCTACCGTAGGGATTAAGGAATTTTATCCTTATTTAGTCTGGAGCATCCTCGGGCCAAGGGGGAAATATAGCGAACTTTTTTTAAATCCTTCTGCTTCTGTAGGAATGAAAGGATTTGTTCCATATTTGGTCTGAAGGGGAACCAATTTTGTTCAAACCGTGGGTCTTGCCCCCCAGAGGCCTTAGGGGCGGGGCCCAATATGGGAAACATAGCAAATTATTGTTTAAAATCCTTTTTCTTCTGTAGGAATGAAAGGATTTGGTCCATATTTGGTGTTGAACATCCTTGGGTAAAGGGGAACCAATCTTTTATAAATGGTGGGTGTGGCCCCCCTAGGACCTGAGGGGCGGGCGGGAGGCCGCATAGAGGAAATAAGAGGTAAAACTTTTAAAAACCTTCTTCTACCATAAGGATTAAGGGATACTTGGGCAAAAAACAATTTCGTATAAACAGCTAGTGTGGCCCCCCTGGAGGCAGAGAGGTGGGGCCCAATAGGGGAAATAGAGGTAAAACCTTTAAAATCCTTCTTCTACCATAGGGATTAATGTATTTTCCTAATTTATAGTCTTGAGCATCCTTGGGCCAAGGAGACTCAATTCTGAATAAGCAGTGGGTGTAGTCTCCCAGGGGGCAGTGCCCAATAGGAGAAATAGAGGTAAACCCTTTAAAATCCTTCCACGACCATCGGGATTAAAGGATTTTATCCTTATTTAGTCTGGAGCATCCTTTGGCCAATAATAATAATTTGAGGTTCTATATACCGCTTTATCACGACCTAGTTCATAGATATAACACGATGCCGTACTGTGACTCGAACCCGCAACCCTTTGGTCACAAACCCGTCATCCTACCACTTTACTATCGTGCCTCCAAATATGAAGTGTACATACACATTTCTTTATAACTTGCAACAGATAAATAACAAATATTGATAGAGAAAACATCTTCATTTAATGACATCATCCCAGCATCAAATCTTTTAGCGACATCACACATTTGTGAGTAGAATAATCCCACTTGAGGAGTGGATGCTTTAAATCCCCTTTTATCACCAATAGCTCTGATAAATAACATATTAAACAAAGGTATTAAACAATTCTAAACCGGCCGACACGTGTGTAGGTCATTTGAATTCATAACAAAGTTCATCACAAACTCATCTCGCATGAATCTTGGGTCACAATTTTAAGAGAAGGCTTGTTTGTTTATGCACACATGAAACCGTTCAAATGATACATTTCGGTACTATAACTGCACGAACAACCTGTGCTATTTACCTCCCCAGATACTGCTACAATCATGTAAATCCACTGGACACAGGACTATCCAATAACTTTGCCAGAAATTGCAGATGTCAATTAACTTCTGTAGAACAAGTGGTCTACAGTCAGTATATTGTGTTTTAAGGTTTACAATTTATAACCCTATCCTGGTTAATTCAACCAGTAGCCACTAGTCCTGAACAAAGGAAAGTTTTTCTCAATTCTGATACAACTTTTGATTGATGAACAGCAGCTAAATGTCCAGTGTCCCTTGGAAATGTTGTAAATTTTCAAAACAGTAGCCTAGTATTCGCAGAATCACTTGCAACTCTACTGGAAAACAAAGTTTAGATTGAAATAAAATAAATATTGTATGTGTTAGCATAGGAAAAATTGTTTGCTACTAACATTTTAGTATGACAAAGTATATTAGATATATACATATATATACATGTGATTTGAGTCAAGTACAACAAATTACACTAAACTTGGCTACAGTTAAAATCCACTTTCATCCACACATTCACTTCTGTAACACCCGAGTCTTTCATTTATCCACTTATTACTCGAAAGCTTTGATCAAGTCTGCTCTACAAAAGTACACCAGAAATGTCTGCGAAAAAACAACTTGTAATTACAACGACCACAGAGGGCAAAATGATATAACTAATATTATCAATAAATGCAGTCTTGAAGTATACTGTGGATTTGACAAATTAACAATGAACACAAAAAAAAAGACTGATAAATTATGAAAGGGAAGAAAATTGTTCTTTTCACACCTGCCTTGATTAATGATATGATCTATAAAAGTACACCATTAAGTTTTATATTACTTACACATCTGTACCACATGAAGATATGTCTCAATCATCCTTGCCATATAAGGGCATCTCTAAGTCATCCATGCCATATATGGGCTTTTTTTCAATCGTCTTTGCTTTTTAATGCTTATTTCAATCATTCACGACTTACAAACAACATGTCTCGATTCACATATTATAAAGATTGGATGTCAAAATTGTGGCACTCATGAGACGTGTATGGTAAAAATCATCCTTTCACCCTTAATATTTGGACTTGCAATAGTGCTCATCCCTGTGCACTATATTCCACACAGAATGTATCAAATCAAATTGTAGTATGCCATTGTAATGTAATTCTATTTAAAACAGTTTTTCTATCTTATTCAGTTATATTGAGATAATATTTAACAACCTATGACGACAATACTGTCCCCATTGGTTGTAGGACAGGATTTTATCAGACTGATCACCTAACCATACTAGGTTATACATTGTAGGTATAAAATGTTTTTAAACACCGTTAAAGACTCTCAAAATATACAATGTACTGTTGGTTCTATCATTTACCAGGTCAAGAAACCTGCAATGACAGGACATAAATGTCAGAACAGTCCAGCAGTATCAAGCTGACCTTTATTTTGCATCGCAACGTCGTAAATCTGTAATTATACTTTTAATTGTGACATCAAATAACCTGTAACAATGATCACATTTAAAACATTGTAATAACAAATTTCGTATGTTTGAATTTGACATTAATTAAAAATAAGATCGATACCTTTATGACAGAATAGATATTAGGAAATCCTCATTGCAGAGAACAATCTACTAGGTTGATTTTGTTTATCATATTTAAATCTACATATTTTGACTGGCTGGACCAAGTTTTAAGTTAATATGAAATTGGGACAGAACTAAGAGCCTGATATTTTCTGGTGAACCTTTGCAGAGACTTTCAAATCCTACATTAAAATCGATAGGTCTTTCAGACTTATCACCGGCTAGTTTACATTAAAAGTGAAACAGTCCACCATTCCTCATAAAGGGAAGGAATCCTGCAGATAGAGGTCCGACACAAAACACTTCTCGCACATTAAAGGACACTAGTGACATAGGTTGCTTGTAGATGAAATTATTTTCAACAGTTTCTAAGTTTTCTGACATTACCAAGGTATACACTCAAACATTGAATTTATAAAACTCTTAAAATTAGTAATTTTGGAATAAAAAAAAAAGTTAAATTGACAACGTTAACACTGTTATTGACACTGATTTCAATTTCCTTTGTGTACAAAACTGAAAAGTAGTTGACATTCAGTTCACAGAGTATGCTTAAATACATTTTACAACTACATATTAGAATTCACTAAATTCAAACAAAATCATTTTGCCGCAAAAAGCAAAATTAATATCACCTTTGTATCAAAACCTGCAATATTTCATTCATTCAATTTGAATTATGTAACTAAAATTTCAAAAAACATTTGCATAACAGAATACACACCAGTTCCAATTTCCAGATGTTGTTATGTATCAGAACCTTAAATTTGGCATCATGATTGGTAATATTGTCAAAATTATCATCTCAATCTGCAAAATTCAGCATGTCTGATTTGTCATTGTGTCGCCTCATTCAAAGAGATGAATTTTAATAATTTTAACTTCATACAACAGATTCATAAAGATGAATTTAGTTTGAATGGTAAACAACATATCAATTGCTTATACAGGCTATGATAAATAATCATAAACCATGTAGTGGAATTCATGATCAACTCGTCCCAGGTTAACTCATTCACCCCTTAAAAACACATTTGAGCTCTTCCAATTCAAAGGTTGGAATAGTTCATTATGAAATTTCAGGGGTGAATGAGTTAACACAAAACTTATGTTTAAGATATTTACATAATGCCTCTGGTAAATGTTCACTTGCAAGTCTATGTTTAAAGCCATCATTTACACCAGATATATGACCCTATTTCGAGTTTGTTATTTTAAACATCTAAACAAAGCTCTAAACACAAACATCCAGTATATAGTCTTTTTAAATTAAAATATAAAAATACTCATTCATTTCACTGGTTTCATGTCATAACAGCATATTCAAAAAGAAAACTAGATTGCATCTTTTGGTATAACGTGCATACAAGGGCTATTCAAAATATAATTGATAAGATATGGGTGATCTGGCCAAAACTAATTGTCAATACAATCATATAATGGACCCCTAGAAGAAAATCATTGTGGGTGTAGTGGGTCACAAAAGTGCTAACCCAAGCACAAAACACCGGAGGGATATATTAGTGACACTGTAAGGATGATGGGGTCCTACTGGGTTACATTAATCCTTTCACCACTGTAGACCCTAATGGACTCATCCAGATCAATGCATGGTAGAGTTTACTAAAGTTGCATAGGGTGAAAGGGTTAAATGTCCCAAACAAAATTATCACTTTCAGTCCATCTTGCTCCGTACATCCAGACATCAGAAGCACGATAGTAAAGGTTTTCATGTGTATTCTGGGTTTGTTTTATTTTTGACATTATAATACATTGTACTATGCAATAATGTAAGATTCAAATATAGCCCAAACTGAAATTATGCTGATTAAAAGGGAACGACTGCAATATGAATTCTAAACCATAAATATTGCAAATAATAATAAGTACCTCTAGATATGTTAAAAGGGATAAAAAGGACCTTCCTGTGGAAAAGCTGTCTTAAGTCTAGAAATTCATTCATTGTAATATACCAAAGACATCTATTAACAAGGTTACCGCGAGCGGTATATAATTCGCCCGTCACACATTGAATGAGCAGTTGTTTGTATGATTGAAATATATGAAGTATTTGTGAGTAATTTATATTAAAAGAGAAATCATTCAACATAACTGGTAGATCAATGAGTGCAATACAACATCATGGAACGCATGCATCGCATTAATGAAACCAAGGGTAATAACTCCAGTAATTACAGTCGGATAATGGCGGTTATCGAACTCGTCCGAGCTTTCATGGTAATTACCCTTGTTGTGAAGTTTGAAGTTAATCTGTTAATAATTACTCGAGATATTTAGCGGACACTGTTTCGGCAAGTCCATAAAGGGGCATAACTCCACAAACTATGGTCGGATAATGGCGGTTATCGAACCTGTCCGAGCTTTCATGGTAATTAACCTTGATGTGAAGTTTGAAGTTAATCTGTTAATAATTACTCGAGATATTGATCGGACACTGTTTCGGCAAGTAAAGGGGCATAACTCCAGAAATTATGGTCGGATAATGGCGGGTATCGAACCTGTCCGAGCTTTCATGGTAATTAAACTTGTTGTGAAGTTTGAAGTTAATCCGTTAATAATTACTCGAGATATTTAGCGGACACTGTTTCGGCAAGTCCGTAAAGGACCATAACTCCAGAAATTATGGTCGGATAATGGCGGGTATCGAACCTGTCCGAGCTTTCATGGTAATTAGCCTTGTTGTGAAGTTTGAAGTAAATCCGTTAATAATTACTCGAGATATCGAGCGGACATCATTTGCCCCGCCCGCCCGCCTGCTCACGTGATAACATAATACGTCCCCGTCTTCGACGGGCGTATAAAAACTGGACAAATTCTAGGTCATGCATATCATTAATGTTATCAACAGTCATGGCATATTTGGGGGGTTGCACTTGTCAAAAAGAGGTGTACCTATGTTGAACATTAAAGTTGCATCATTTTCCATTGTAACTTGCTATTAAAGCCTATATAAGCCACTGAGAAAAAGCCCTGATAACGACTTACCATACTACTTGAAGTTATGACTACACTAGCTTATTACTTTCTTGAGTAATTATGATTGTCTCAAAATATAAAAGTTATCATGTTGCAAAGTCTTACTATCTCAAATAACAACAACGCTCTCTTGTTAAAACAAAAATAGGTTGTTATAATAACAAAGCTGTGCCGTTACTATGACAGCGAAATGAAGTCCCAATTTCATTATTACGACCTCTAAGTGACCTGTACTGGCTTCTGTAGTCTGTCATTGCCAATTATAAAGAAACAAATTCCATTCTATGAGGTAGTACCAAAATCCACATTTATAACTCAAAGTAGCTCTAAAGTACAAATTATTAGAATATCTTAGAAAATATTACGTGACCGAACTAGGTAAAATTGACACAACCTGATGACTGACCACTGGGTCCACCTAATGCCAATATACTGATATCTATACTAAATTAACCAGGTAAACTTACTGATACATCAGCACATGTAAGCTAGTTCATGTTTTTTCTATTGAGCAATAGGTGTATACAAAATGTACTGCACCCTGCTGGGGCGTACCTCAAAAGAAGTCAAAGAGAACATTATAAACTCCCGTTGCAGATCAGCAATACCTTATTATAAAAAAATCTGATTTGGATTGAGCACTTTTTGTCCCTGTACTAATGATGGTGACTGTACACTAGAGTAGTGATTTGTTTGTTTCTTGTTAAGGCTAGTACCTGGTGACTGTCCCGCATAAGCCTTGAACCCGCGACTCGGTCGTGGAGGGCTTGTGATCATAGACGGTCAGACGCCTTTACCATCCCGCCACCATGGCCCCACTAGTAGAGAAATGTCTATACAACTTAACTCTTTAATGAATTACTTGATAACAAGTTGAATACAATTGCAAAATGATAAATTCCTCGCAAATTAAAGTATTGTTTAACTTTTTTTAACAGAGTATATATAAATCATAGGGAAATTTCTAACAGTAAACATACAAATTACACAGATTAAATTTTAATGCTAGCATGATGGTGGTAGTAAAAAAGAAATTAGTTTTGGCAAGTTTAAGCAATTATATCCTTTAAATAACAGTTAATTCACTTCACAAAACTAAACAAAGATGTTAAACATATTAACTTGAATAAAAAACCCAAATATAATCTTGATGAAAAAACTCACAATTTTCAAATTGATTGCTTCGTGGATCTTGACAATACCTATAAGAATGAATCTGACCTGTTCATACTAACGTTGTGTATGTAGTTGGTAAATGCATACCAGCACACGTGGGACCCAAACTGTAATTTCTTTTTGTCTTGCAAAATTTTCACCATTTTGCCTTTCAAAATGTTATATATTAGCCTGTGTTAAATCAATTTCCCATTTGACATTTTTCTTTCCTAGTATCTGACAGGCTTCCAAAAAATGTACAATTTTGTCATACACACAAGTGCCAGAAAACATAAACAATATCTTTAAACACTGATCAGACTCAAATCTTACTCATTGTCATATTACATCCATTAATCTATTATAGACACAATCCTCTAAATAACTTTGTAAAACCAGTTCATCATTATACTGTCAACCAATGAATTTTAAATAGAATAGTGTAGCAAAACCATGATGAAATGTCTTCTTTTTTTTCTGTGTAAATTCATAATCTGACTTAAGATATGGAATAGGAAACTTTGACATAAAGATAACAAGTCCTATTACAATTTGTGTTATCCTTGGTTAAAACATGTACTTCCTGTTGAATATTCCCCTTTTCCCAAATCTTTCATGCTTTCATCACACTGTTCATTCTCTATGAAGTAAAGTAACTTTGACCTTCCTGTAATCCAATCAAGCGAGTATGGTCTTAATGTCGGCTGGGGTCGCATCCAATGATGACAAAGACATCAGTTTGCTGACTGACCAATTTTTCTGTAGTTGGCCTGCCTCTACTTAAAATTCTCAAATAGTTGTTGTTGGAGAATTTCAGTATTTGACAAATCCGGAGGCTCGAGGGCACGGTCGGAAGCAGACATTGGTCTGTGAAAGTCATGGTATCTCTCTCCATTATTGCCGATGCCATGGAGAACTGGGCTGTTTAGTCAACCCCTTCGAATCCCTCTGTGTTTTCTACTGCTGTTAGCAGCTTTTTCCTCAGCTCCTCGTAGCTCTCATAAGGTGGGAGATCAAGTCTGTTGAAGCTGGAAACATAACGAGCAATTACAATTACACACCTTAACATGATATATTACTAGAAATAGCTGCATCAAGCCTCATAAACTACATGGTAGACCAAGGACCTTGAATCACTCGCCTTCATATTTTGGAAGTGAAGTCTATATATATTCTAATAGTAATTTGGGTCGAGGAGGGCATCATGGGCTAAAAACTACTGCTACCCAACATTTGGATAAAACTTAACTCAGCAGTATGGGAGAAGATATGTTAAAGGAAATAAACTAAACTGATGCCTTTGGAATTCTCCTCAGCCTCCAATAGGGTAAGCCCCTTTTTTTTCTTGATCCTCAATGGCCAAGGATGCTACTTACACAATTCGAAACCAGCCAAGTTGTTTGCTTAGAGATGTCTTTAAGGGAAATCAGCACTTTTGACATGCTCAGGAGAGTAAGACTCATTATCTGTGTGGTTCTTCACACTATAGGCTAAAGACATTACCCCCGAAAGTTGGTTGAAACCAGCTCAGTAATTTAGGAGACGTCTTTTATTGCATATAACGACAAACTAGAGACCTATCTCTCCTTAATAGCCAACATGTATCCTTGATTGGCACTTATAAGAAAAGTAATAGTTATAATAGTAAACTAACTATAGAGCACTGCTCACCTGTTTAATCATTATCTCTTTAAAAGAGAAATTTTGCACTAAATAGCCTTTTGACCTTTGACCTAAAGGAGAAGTTTACGTTGACCTTATCACACTGCACACCATCTTTTGGTGATACAGGTACAATCAAGTTTAATCATGATATCTTTGATGGCTCAAAAAGTAAAGCCTTGAGACAAAATCTCACTTGAAATTTTGTACATATTTGACCTTTGACGTCCAGTGAAGATCAAAATTACCTAATTATAACACACTTTTCACCTCTAGTCAGTTAAAGATATATATCAGGTTTCATCAAGATATCTTTTATAGTTGATATGCTACAGAATACAGTCCACACAAGATTATACAAGAAGCAGAGGAAGAACAGTACTAAAATGTCTCCCTTCATTTGAAGGGGAGATGTATTGACACAAGTATGACGAAGAGGAAGCTTCACAACACAAGACTCACTGTGGTAACTCTTACAAGGTGAACTTATAATGATTAATTTGAATGCAAAACATTTCTGAATGATGAAAACACATTTAATTAAGCTTCAAAAGCCTGGTCTAGTACATGTCACCGAGTATGTGTTTAGCATGAGTTAAGTGTTTGAAGTTGCTGTTAGTACTGTACCAGGTGTGAGCTCTTGGAAGCTTTTTGGTGGTGCCCCATTTCTCTATGGTAAACAGTTGGGGGCCGTTGCTACCATACAGTTCCCGGAAACCGTTCATTGGGACACGTGATGTCCCCGTCACAAACTGGAGCAGTCTCGACCGCATCTCATTGTTCACGGAATACACAGCCTGAAATTCATGACAATATTAAAAACACATGATAATTAAAGGTGATCTTGAGTTTTTGATTTCATTTTTAGCGAGGTTTTCAATTTTTGATAATTAGTTTTCCTGGGTCTGAGGCCAAAACTGACTGGTACGCTACCTTCCAGAAGTAGATGATGGTCGGGTGGTTGGGGTTGTATTCCCCTTTGTAGGCAGAGTTAGCTTTCCAGTCATTAACATCAATGTCCTGTAGCCCACACATCAACAGCTCCAGCTCATTTTCATCAAATATCTGCAGTAGTGTCTGGTTGACTAGGGCATTGAAACCCTTCCTAAAGCATGTCATCTGGTTATACACTCGAGACACAAACCTCCAGTTTATCACCAAACTGTAACATAAACAGAATTTGTTACCCAAATAGTAAGACCACTCCTTAATTTCTCCTATTTCTATGAAAGTATTAGGGTATTACCAGGTATAAAATCTCTGCTCAACCATATGACAAATAGAATCTTTCATCCCATTGAGTGTCAGATGGAGGAGATTTTAAAGATACCAAACATAAGGCTTGCTGAGTGGTTGACAACGTGAGAATCTTTCTCCAAGGGTTGAGACCTCCCTATCTCACCCGTTGCTGTTGGGAATGGATTCTTTTTCTGTTACCCTGTTGACCCTGTCATATACACAATGTTGAATTGACAGGTCAGTGTATTGTTGATGTGACATCAAGCATTGCTGATGTCCACATTTTCCCGTTGTGAGATATCCTTGTCTCACCCTAGGGTTGAGAGGGGGGATTCCCCTTTCTATTACAACGGTATGACGTCACGTCAACAATCAATCAACATCACCTAACCCTGAATTTAGCCTGTAACTTTAACATTACATTATGTATATGATACACAATGGGAGAAAAGAGTAAGAGAAAAATATCATTCACCCCCTCGAGAAGAGATTGGAATTCTCAACCCTTGAGGGGGGAAAGATTCCAGAAAGAATCTCGGCAAAGCCTCGTGTTGGGCAGATTAAGAATCCCCCCCCCCTCGAGTAATAACTGAACAGCAAATTGAAACACAACCCACCCTACAGATATATCAAGTGTTGTTAAATGGATTGTTATTTTATTATTCTACCTGACCAGTAGTATGTTGTTTGGCTTACTTTATATATTCCAACTTGTTATCATTTGTGACCACTATGTCCTTTCCACCTGGTTTAAGTTCCCGTTCTGTTATCTAAAAGAAAAACAAACAATTTCTGCATTATTTAAACCACCAAACTTAAAGTCCATAGAGCCTGTAATATCAAACATTTGTGACCTTCACAAAGTAGGTCAAAGTCAAAATTATTTTACAAACTCAATACCAAGCAAGCTAACACTATGTGAGCTAAATATCATTTTCCTTCACCTTATAGATCTTTGTTGGAAGGTTTTAAAATATAATTCTCATGCAACTAAACAAACTTTTGGCCATTCAGAATTATTTGTTTACAGGTTTTGAAACATTTGACCTTGAAAAGGGGTCAAGGTCATTCAATTGAACAAACTTTAGTCCTTCAGTTCAGCATGCTTGCAAAATATCATGACCATATGTCTCTTAAGTGTTTCTGAAGCTTTTTACAGAAAAAGAGTTGATGCAAAACCAATTGATGACATACATTGCACCTTGGTATAAGCTTAGCTGCCAGTGCAGCGGATGAGCTAAAAACACAGAGTTTGTTGTAAGTCAGCTACCCATAGTTTTTATTGTGGATGTAAGCAAACTACCTGGTCTCTTTTGGCACTAACGCCTTAATACCAATGACAACCTACAAACACACTACAGCCAACTCATCTCCTTACCTCTCCGAAATAGTCCTCCTCCACACTAAACGTCAGGTCGAGGTCAATAGGGTCATTGTCTCGGATCCAACACAAGGAGTTGAAATACTCCGAGTCCTGTTGTAATCAACATACACATTAAGTACATACAAATCACTAACCAGCAACAACTCTCCATTGACATTACACAGCACATAGAATTTACTAAGATTGAAGAAATTTTAATATCCATTAATTACCATTCAGCATTGTCAAATTACCCTTCTTACCTCATGGTAATTAAGCGAGTTCAATTTTATATAAGAAACAGGATCAGCTACCAGGTACTAAAGGGAACAAACCCAGTACTACCCCCACCCCTCAAACCTGTCCACTTTGTCTCTGTGCACATTACAAGTTACAATATGCCATTTGATTGGGGTCAAAATGTTAGCAACAGAGTAAAACACTTAGAGTACATCATCTAACTCTATAAAAAATATACCTATAGTACACTAATTTCTCAGGTTCCTCCTTTGCACAAAATGACAAATGATCAAATGGCCATATAACAATACAGACACTCAACAAAAATCTTTTGTTCAATGGGATTTGTTGTAAATATGTAATACTGTATATATATACAAGAAGCCCATGGGTCTTAACAGTCACCTGATATATTTATACAGAGAGTTGAGAGAACACGAACAGAAATATTATTCGGTGACAAAAAAACAATAAAACCATCTTATTCAATATCTAGCATACAGATTTAAGACTAAAAAGTATTTGAAACTAGCACCTCTGATTCTAAACAAGGAAAATGAAGAAATTTTAGCACACTGACTCCTTTGGGCCCCACCCTTCAGCCCTTGGGGGTAGGGCTGGCCCAAAATTTTCAAAGTATCAAACTGTCAACTCAGGGTTATAATTCCAATCAAGTTATTAACATGTAATATTCAAAGTATCATTTGCCATAATAAATTTTGCCCCCCTCCTCTCCTTCCCCAGGGGGTAAACGTGAGACCCTAGGGTCAAAAACCTTAAGACCCTTCGATCTATGAAGAGTGTTTGATTCTGCCATATCTGGGTCTTTGAGAAGATTTTTTTTTGAAATTTCAGTCAATTCAACCCTTTTTGGCCCCACCCATCAGCCTTGGGGGGTCAGTCAGGGCTCATATGTGCATACCATCAAACTGCTATCCAATACTGATAATGCTAACCCAAATTGAATTACTTCAAATGAAAATTAAACAAAAAGGTGAAATATATTTGTTATTACTGAAGACACCATAACATTTTCTATTTATTACATTTTTAAAGCATAAAATTGAAAAATGTAATGCATTAAAAAAGGGCAGGAATCAGAAGCGTTTCCGATGTTTTCTGCTTTTTTCTGGTACGATTGCTTATACAATTTTTATTAATTGTGTATTTATGTAAAAACTTAAGCGAGTGTACCAAACATTTACCATAACAACCACTTATTCTACCGTCGCTTCATTTGAGTCTGACCAAAATATCGTTGCATTTGAATGCAGCGAATAGAAGATACCAATATCATTGGTCAATACCAAAAAGTGTTATTTTCACACTGTGAAAATATCTCTTGATTTTTGTCACAGTGTGAAAGATATCAGTTTTATCAAGTTGATAGAATCCAATATTTCACTGGTAAAAATGTAATTAAAACTTACAACTGGCTCCATGTCTTGTAGGATCATGCTTTTACCCAACATCATCTTGTAAAATGGACGAATAAAGAAACCTAGAATAAAAATCAGATTTCAGACACATGCAGGCATTCTTAAGAAAATCAGACAGTTCATTCTGTTTAGACTATCATCAGTATTACCAGATCTTTTATGCATAATGTTACATTACTATCAGATTTACACAAACGAAGTGACATGTCGATGGTTTTGGTATGTATTCATCATCTCAATACAAAGGCAGGTGTGCTATAACAACAACTTAAGCAAGAGAATTATTATGTTGCACAAAAACAAACGAGGACAACACAAGATTACTTGTCCAACTGACCCTTACTTACTTGTAGAAGCACCAGTAAATATTAATGGACATTCTATATAGGTCACATTAAACCTTCTTAATCTATTTCTATAGTGACCTTCAAAACCACATTAAAACCTAGTTATTTCTATAAAACAACACAGACCACATATAAACATATTTCTTTAGGAGAGTATTAGATAGCAGCGTCCAACAATGTCAAGTGCTGTTTGTATCTAATGAGTTACCGTCGAGCAGTTTGCCGTGGTACACAGCCATTCCCGCAATTCTGCCAATGAATTCAAAGTAAGATAAATGATCATCGTTGGCCAGGCCTGACAAAGGATTGATCTGTAAGGTGTAGTTGTCTCTGAAACACAAAATATAACATGTCAATGGCGAAATACACTTGTTATCACTTGTGAATTCCACACCGCCTGAACTCTTATTTTTTTTAACACAAACATAAAAACTAGAGGCCCAGAGGGCCTGTATCACTCACGTGGAACTTTATGCCAAGCAATGGAATAAATGACTCAAGGTTGTAGATCACAACAGTTTCAAAGTTATGGCCAAGAAATGAAGTCCCTAGGGGTGAGCAGCCCGAAGGTCAATACTAATATTATGATTGAGCCTGACTCTTGATGCCCAGCAATGATATATGGTTATGGGGAGGGGATCTCAACTGTTTTAAAGCTATGGCTCAGGAATTAAGTCCCTAGTTGTAGAGTTAGATCACAGGGTCAATCCCAATATCACAATAGTGGCGGTCTCTTGATGTCCAGCAATGATATATGATTATGGGGTGGGGATCTCAACTGTTTCGAAGTTGTGGCTAAGGAATTAAGTTCCTAGGGGTGGGGCCAGACCCCAGAGTCTATTCATACATTATGATAGTGTTTGTCACTTGATTCCCAGCAATAGTATATATGGTAATGGGGTGGGGATCGCAACTGTTTCAAAGTTATAGCTTAGGAATTAAGTCCCTAGGGGTGGGGCCAGACCCCAGAGTCAACTCTTATTTCATGGTTGTGTTTGTTTCTTGTTGCTCAGCAGTTGTATATATGGTTTTAGGGTGGGGATCTCGATAATGTCACAGTAAGAAATTATTTTGGCCCCGCCCCTCAGCACCTCCATTTGTACAATTTTGAATCCCCAGCACCCAGGGATGCTTCTAGTCTAGTTTGGTTAAATTCCAATTAGCGGTTAAGGAGAAGAGGTTGTTTGAAGAAATTGTAATGGCATTAGCTCACCTTGGTCCTTTCAAAACACAGTAAAAACTCAAAACTGTATATGGTGATTATTATTAATAGAATAAATAATATTAAGACTTGAATACTTACGTGGCTGAGTACTCAAACAGGCCATAGAAGGGGTTGAACATTTCCTTAGAGAGGAGGTAGAACCATTCACGAGCAACACCACCATAGTCAAGACCTGTGTCACCTTCGAACTCAATCCATAACCTATAACAGATTATTACACATGATTTACACATATCTACCCAAATTAAATCACTTAGAAATCCTGGACAGTCCTCTCGTGAACATATCTATCCAGTGTAAATCACTTAGAGATCCTGGACAGTCCTCTCGTGAACATATCTACCCGGAGTAAATCATTTAGAAATCCTGGACAGTCCCCAACCCCTTTTCTAGACAAATTAAGTGTATAAGATGTGCATACGAGTGAACAAAATACAATATACACAAATAACTTGTCGTATAATGTGAATAATTTTCTTACACTTTGATATAGTTCTCACCTGGTTTTTAAAACATCTGGCTTTTTAACACTCATGATGGCACGGTAGGAATCTTCAAATATATTGTCTCTGCTAATCTTAATATCCACTTTATTTGGTATATTTTGCTGAAAAGAGATAGAAAAACATTCTACAGCAAAACATAAACAACAGACTCATGGGCTGGTCACCGGAGTTAAAATGTTATAAAAAACAAAATATACATGTACATGTATCACCAAAAATGTCTTTTTGACGGTGGATTGGCTTTTACCAAATGTTAGGGAGTGAGGAACATATTCAATATCAATCATGTATTTCTATTTACTGTAAAAGCCAAAGTTTTGTTACAGAAACCTCAAAATATAATCCAGATGAAATTTTAACCACATGAAATATAGACCACACGAATATTTGCAGATCTTACCTGTACATATTTCTAGCGTTTCGTCTTACCTCTGGCAGTAAAAGGTTTTTACTGACCAAATTATAAATGTTTAAATATTCAATTTTAAAAATGTTGATTCCATGAAATTAAATCCCAACAAATTTTGTTCAGTATGTAAACCATGTATACATTATTTTACCTTTCTCTTTCATAAGAACTTTCCTTATCCTACACTACGGGAAAGAAAATTGGGCCCACTTGTTATTCATTATGATAAATTTGATACTGTTTATTATCATTCTACAGGTTCAAACAATGTTTACTCACTGGTTTCCGTAACTTTGATCTGAAATAGTCATACTTCCTCTTGTAATCCCTGGAATACGGTACTGCCTGAAAAATACAACAAGTTCTATAAATATACAAAAATACTATTTATGGAGACATTGCAGGTGACATGAATAATGTTGTTTCGCTATGACACATCCCCCCCCCCCCCCCTATTATGTTAATACATAATGCTGAACTTTATACAACACTTACAATTGTGTTATACAATATATCAATTCAGTTAGGTTAAAAAAACTAAATGTACATCTAGGCAGCCAGTCTCAATAAATCATAAGGAATCAATATCTGAACCATGAAAAAAACAAATGGGGAAATTGAGTTAAACAATCAAATATTGTGTTGTAGTTACATCAGCTTCGTCAACAGGTGCATTTGGGGTTTGTAAACTGATGTAGTAGTCTGACAGTTAAACTGAAAAGGTCTATTACTCAAGTTTTTGTATAAACAAATAAAACATAAATAAATAAAGAAGCATCCCTCGATCAAACTTTAGTCATGTCCTGATATAGGATAATTTGATTGACATGAGTGAAAGTTAAATCTGTTCAGTTAAGCAGCAATGAGATGTGTGAGTGGTCGAACAGGAAGCGTTACCTTGACCACCAGACCAAACATATCTATCATTCTACAGTAGAGACATTATGCACAGAATTTCTCTGGGATTATCTTCTATGGGAAAATGAACTTCTACACTATAACAGCATCCAGAATCCTGAATGTATTATTCATTTTGCTGGCGAAGCAATTCCACCTTGTTATGGAGCTGCTATTGAATTTGCTATTTCATGTCATTTTAAATATAAGCTTATTTTTTGAAGCAGCTTAATCTGAACCCCCCCCCCGATTAAAACACTGATTTTTGAGTCCTTGTTATCACAATTTTGAAATTTGTTGTTGTACTTATATCAATCCAATGGCAAAAACGAATCTCAGCTTTCTCAAAAATGTTTATCAAAACATCAATATAACTTGACTATCATCTTTTATACTTTGGTCTCCGTGGTCACCTACAGCCCACTCACATACTCACTGGGCGAGCCTGGATGTTTATAGAGGTCACAAGGAGAATCCGACCTAGTCTACGGCTATCCTGTAATTATAACCTAGCAATGGAATACTGTCAGACGCCTCCTTCTCCCCTCACCAAACTGGAGAATTGGTACATTATGCAAGTATCTTGGAATTTCAACTAGATTTTCACAACCCGGTATATAGTCGTAACAAAAACGTAAAAACATCATCAAATATACAAATCTTGATCTTATAGTATGTACCAAATCTTTGATTGACTCTTACACAAACAGCATACCGGTATATCCCACATTATAGAAAAAAAATCTGTCTGTAGTGGAATTTTAAGTGTCATCCTACAATGCCTTACATGATGAAATTCTACTAAGGGAGGTTATCTGGTAGTGTTTATTGGCAAAAACGTCAAAGAAAAGCAAGGATCCGCTCATAATAAATGAATTCTCTACCTCTGATACAACTAACAACGAATAAACAGAACAATAACTGAATATCAAAGATAGTCCACCATCTCAAACTCTCAATCTCAGCAGATTCTGTCATTTGTATCAAATGTCAAAGAATCAGCTTTTGAACCCTTCCTTAAATAAGATTACATGAAGTATCTAAATGGGCCCTTACCTGCCCTCCTAGCTTCTGTAACCGAGGATCTTCCCACTGGGTCATTTTGGTTGCTGAGGAAACAAGCATAGCATCAGTAAAAATACTTGTATATGAACATTCAATTGCAAAAGTGACAAATATGATAGAACACTTCATGAAACAAGTCAGATGGTGGGCTAAAAAATACACAAATTCAAGTTTATCACAGAACAAAAAGAAGTCTTATGACAAGAGGCCCAAGGGCCTTAGCGGTCACCTGAGGTATATCATAGGTACTGGTAGCTTTATTTTATTGTTTAAATGTGATGTGGAAATCAGCATGTAAACTAAGTGAAATACAATACTTGTCATGTCATCAAAGGATAAGAATTTTAAAATATTTGTAAATGTTCCCTTTGGGGCCCCGCTCTAACCCCTGGGGAGTGGGCAGGAATTCCAAGTTTACAATGTGATACCGTCATCCACCAAAGATGATTCTGACCAAGTAAAAATAATTTCCAACAGAAAATTGTCAAAATATACCCAAAAGTGTTGTTTCCCTATATAAACTATAGTAAACTTTACCCCCTCCCCAAGGGAGAACGGATAGCTCGGGGGTCCTGAAATTTACAATTTAAATAAAGCCCCTGATGATCTTTCCATCCATGCAGAGAAAATGACTGTAATACCTCTGAGTCTGGAGAAGAAGATTTTTGAAATATTGGTTAATTTTCCCTTTTGGGCCCCGCCCTGGCCCCTAGGGTTGGGGTAGGAATCCCAATTTTACAATTTGGTAGCCTCATCTACCAAGGATGATTCTGACCAAGTTTGAAAAAAATCCATCCACTGGTTCTTGAGAAGAAGTTGATAATGTAAAAAGTTTACACACGACGCACGACGACGGACGGAAAGTGATTGGAATAGGTCACTTGAGCAAAGCTCAGGTGACCTAAAAATAAAGATCTTATAGCATTCAGTAAGAGACTGTTGTCAGTCTATCAGAAACATTTTGACCAATGAGAGACACTTACAGTGATTAATGTAGAATACTCTGCCATCGGAGTGTGTTCTCTCTTCCCATCCAGCCTGCAATAATAATACAAATCACAGTGCAATTTACAAATCTCAATCTTTTTTGCACGACTATCACATTGCCTATTGACTGCACAAGACTAATGGTAGTGATGCCATATCAAGAAGATGCTCTGTTAGTGGCCCGAAGTTAACAAAGTTACTGGTAATAACTCCAGGGTAAACAAGACTACTGGTATCTAGTGACCACAAGTTAACAACACATACTGGTAATGGGCCCATGTAAACAAACTTTAAGCTCAGGCACAGGAAAGGACTCCAGTCTAACTAAGATGTATCGGTGTATAATGACCACATTAAGCAAGATTACAGGTATATAGTGACCACATTAAGCAAGATTAAAGGTAAAAGTATAACAAGACTTACTCCTATATAGTGACCACAAGTATAACAAGACTAACTCCTATATCGTGACCACAAGTATAACAAGACTAACTCCTATAAAGTGACCACAAGTATAACAATACTTACCCCTATATAGTGACCACAAGTATAACAATGCTTACTCCTATATAGTGACCACAAGGATAACAATACTTACTCCTATATAGTGAACACAAGTATAACAAGACTTACTCCTATATAGTGACCCCAAGTATAACAAGACTAACTCCTATAAAGTGACCACAAGTATAACAAGACTTACTCCTATATAGTGACCACAAGTATAACAAGACTGTCTCCTATATAGTGACCGCAAGTATAACAAGACTAACACCTATATATTGACCACAAGTGTAACCAGACTTACTCCTATATAGTGACCACAAGTATAACAATACTTACTCCTATATAGTGACCACAAGTATAACAAGACTTACTCCTATATAGTGACCACAAGTGTAACAAGACTAACTCCTATATAGTGACCACAAGTTCACTAGACTTACTGGTAATGGCCCCAGGTTGACGAGGAGGTCCTCATTTGAGGACGCCCTGGTGACTAGGTTAGGCATTTCCCCATGCTGACTCCTCATACTGGCTGTCCTTGTGGCTTTTCGTGGATCCTCCTAAAGGTCAAGATTACAGTGACAATGAGGTCACAAGTCTGCTGAATCCTTATACATAATACATGTTATGCTTTTGCCCTTCTTTTTCCATTAAAGTGTAGGAATGATTAGATAAAATAGAAGGCAATCGCTTAGAAATTTCTTTCTTTAGAAATACTTTGTACAAAAAAAGAATATTGGAAGTTGCTCTTGCTTTAAAAGATTGTTATCTTTGCCTATCATTTGTAGTTGAATCATATCATCACTGATCAACTTTGTTGTATATATCACAACATCACATCACCGTGTAGTTAACTTACCCATGTGGTCTTCATGTTATTGTGGTTGATGTAGAAGACTCGACCATTTGGAGCCATACCTATTGCCCAGCCTGGTCCTAGTGGCTCCTCTTCTGGTTCTCCTCCTGTAGCAGCGGTATTCTGGCAACACATCACCACATAGTATTAAGATACCTTTGTACGGTGCCCTATATAATTATATAATTATCACTCTAAAGCATCTGACAGAGAAACAATACACACATCATTTCCTAACTTAGTCACCTTACATGAGATACACAAACATCCACTTGCAACACTATACAGACATCTTGGACTCACATATACACATCACAGGAACACTCAAACACATTCTGTAATGATTTTGGCAGATTCTATAAACACATAGACCTGAATATTAACCTGTCGGTTAAAAACTTACTTCCAACAACACAGTTGGAGTGAGATTATCCAATGTTTTCTAGAATTCTGTAGTGCGACATCTATCCAATGCTACATGCTGTACGAACATATTTCAAACTAAATTTCCTATTTTTTAGATATGATCAGGAAAACCAAAAAGGTCTTTCCAAAAAATAAAATATCAACAGATTCTGCAAACTGAATTTTGCATATTTACTTTCTTTCTCTTTCAATTATGCTTTGAATCAGGTGTTCTGTACCAAATGAAATTCCTACCTTTTTATCTTGAAACCTCAAGTAACGTTATTGCAGATACCGATATGAAAGCTATGCACAATTCCATTACAAGATATAATTTACCACACCATATTACAGCGCTAGCCTAGCCTGTGGTTAGCGAAGAAATAGAGAGCTTCCAAAGAAGACAAGAGATATGACTTAGGATTCAGCATTAAAATGTATCCTTTCATAGCAACTTTTTCCATTTCCTTACTGATGGGCAAAACAATAGTAATAAATAAAAATAAAAACTTTACAAACACCTTCAAAGACTACAACTTTCACTGTACAGCATAACATTGAAATGCGTTAACAAAGTCAGAGAAATCTTATTTAATCATCAAAAATCAGCTTAAAATCCAAGACAAGAAAAATGGCCAATTATAATGTTAAAAAGAACACTTTAAGGAGTATTTTTGAAGATTATTGATGTAAATGTAGATGTAAAAAAAAAGAAAAAAAACTATACAGAATGATCAAATTTCACAGGGATATTCTTAACAACCTAACGTATTTATACTGTACTACAACATCAACTTAAATGATTTATATGACAAAACATATAAACAAAGTCATGCTAAATGATTAAAAAGACCAACAGACTGGTTTAAATGCCATTTTTTCGGAGAAGTAAACAAGATCAAAATGCTTCATTTTTCCAGATATCTTTTTTTCATGCGCAAGTCAAGATCTGTAAAATGAAATATCTTTGGAAAGTACCAATGAATCAAGTTAAAATATCTGTGTCCAAGGAAAACAAAAACACATCAAAAGTTGCCATCCTGCTGGGTTTTAGGATGTTGAAGTTGATGGTAGGAATAGGATTTGTTTTTGTGAAGAGGCAAAGATTTTTTTCTTGCAATCATTAGAGATAAGCTGTGGCAGCATGTCGCCTGTAGCCTGTACACAAACTAAGAAACTCAAGACCCATTAAGTCATGTATAGCAACAATACACGTTACATTGAAAACATGTTAACTAGCGCACACAGTTATAGAATCAGTTTTTCTTGAAGCATGATCACTACAAATATACAGATGACACAAATTATGGAGTACATTTCAACTCCTATTATTCCTAGCTTGCTATATTCGCTTTAGTCTAGTAATGGGACACAACAGAGTCCTCAGGTCAAAGTAATAGGTCACAACTTAGTCCCCAGGTCATGGTAATGGGTCACAACTTAGTCCTCAGGTCAAAGCAATGTGAAACAACAGTCCATAGGTCTTGGTAATGGGTCACAACTTAGTCCCCAGGTCATGGTAATGGGTCAGAACTTAGTCCCCAGGTCTTGGTAATGGGTCACAACTTAGCTGCCAGGTCATAGCAATGGGTCACAACTTAGCTGCCAGGTCATAGCAATGGGTCAGAACTTAGCCACCAGGTCATAGCAATGGGATACAACTTAGTCCCCAGGTCATGGTAATGGGTCACAACTTAGTCCCTAGGTCCTGGTAATGGGTCACAACTTAGTCCCCAGGTCTTGGTAATGGGTCACAACTTAGATCCCAGGTCATAGCAATGGGATACAACCTAGTCCCCAGGTCATAGCAATTGGTCACAACTTAGCTGCCAGGTCATAGCAATGGGATACAACTTAGTCCCCAGGTCATGGTAATGGGTCACAACTAAGTCCCCAGGTCATGGTAATGGGTCACAACTAAGTCCCCAGGTCATGGTAATGGGTCACAACTTAGATCCCAGGTCATAGCAATGGGACACAACCTAGTCACCAGGTCATAGCAATTGGTCACAACTTAGCTGCCAGGTCATAGCAATGGATCAGAACTTAGCCACCAGGTCATAGCAATGGGATACAACTTAGTGCCCAGGTCATGGTAATGGGTCACAACTTAGTCCCAAGGTCATGGAAATTGGACACAACTTAGTCACCAGGTCATGGTAATGCGTCACAACTTAGCTGCCAGGTCATGGTAATGGGTCACAACTTAGTCCCTAGGTCATGGTAATTGGTCACAACTTAGTCCCCAGGTCATGGTAATGGGTCACAACTTAGCTGCCTGGTCATAGCAATGGGTCACAACTTAGCTGCCAGGTCATAGCAATGGGATACAACTTAGTCCCCAGGTCATGGTAATGGGTCACAACTTAGTCCCAAGGTCATGGTAATTGGACACAACTTAGTCACCAGGTCATGGTAATGGGTCACAACTTAGCTGCCAGGTCATGGTAATGGGTCACAACTTAGTCCCCAGGTCATGGTAATGGGTCACAACTTAGTCCCAAGGTCATGGTAATGGGACACAACTCAGTCACCAGGTCATGGTAATGGGTCACAACCTAGTCACCAGGTCATGGTAATGGGACACAACTTAGTCCCAAAGTCATGGGAATAGGTCACAACTTAGTCCCCAGGTCATGGCAATAAATAAATCAGAAAATACTTAACTACTTGATATGTTTAACAAAGTAGCTGTTGAATAAGTCAACTCAGAAAGCAACTATGCTTAAATTTAATCTAGTTGTTCTCTGCTCCCCATTCAGTATTTATCAACTCCAAAACCATTTCAAAATCAATGGACAGAATTTAATTTCAACCCTAAACTGATCAACACCCCATCAAGGATCAATAAGGTCAAACGATTAGTGAGGTCAGTATCTGTGACACACAAGAAAATATACTATCTGGCATTGGATTAGGAAAGACAAGCATCAGGTGTTGATGTAATCTCATCTTGCAAGGAGATTCATCATGTGCATGTGAGCTGCATTTTTTTTTCATGACAAAGCATTTAAGTTTTGTTGTAAACGCAATAGAATGTCTAGTTCAATCATCAGAATTTGAAAAATAATGGGTAAATAAATTATGAATATGAATAAATTAGTTATCTGATAAATTACAAAACCATTTTTTTTTTACAATTTTGTGTCGTGTATGGAGGAATGAAAACATCAAAATGTACTTTTATACTAGATACTCAAAATTCACTGATGGAAAATTGTTTTCACATAACACCAGTAAAACCTTGGTATAATGCTCATTTCATTTACAGCCACACTTACCATCAATGTGTTTTATATCTACTTTTCCTTTTTATATATAATTCCTTTTTATACGTATAAGACTAGCATTCTGTTGGAGAGCTAGGAGGCAGTTCAGAGGCTTTACTTTGTAAGACAATGACTATAGCCAGATCAGAATTTGACTTAATTTCAAGTCTGTTGAAAAAGTTTTGCGCATGCCTTTAAAAATTGCATAACCCATTCAATTATTTGGATAAAAACAAATGTAAGAAAAATGCAATAAAATGGAATACGAGTCATAGGCACACCTTGGTAAGTGATACTTACTAATCTGGGAGCAGAGTTAACTGACGCAAATCTTTGACGGTTGAGTTGATTTCTGATCTGGAAATCAGGTAACAACCCACTTCTATATATTAGTGTCAGTCACGGACGCTGTTTCCAGACAATCAATTTAGAAAAGTCTAAAATCTCTTTGTTTCTTTTAATGTCATTTTGGTGGTGTGAAATGTTAAATGTTTCCTCATTGTTCCTGAATCCAAAAGTCTTAGGACTGATTTTCCAAATGAATAATGTTATTGATAAAACAGGAAAATAGAACAAATCACACCAAAATATAAACTGAATCCAAAATATTCAAAAGAGTGAGGTACAGAACCACAACTTGTAAATCATGCATCAGGTTTGTTTCCAGACTTGAACTTTCTATTATCATAATGATATGTGGTGTACGCGTGTTGAACAAAACCGAAGAAATCAAATTATTTGCATCCTAACCTTCTTCTGTAATGAATGTTGACCGTTAAAGTCGTACAAGATTGTACTCCAAGTCAACCACAAACCTGAAGCCTGTGGACCTACCTCTGTCTGACCAGTAGATGCAGGTCGTTGAGATTGCGTAGGACTGTCAATATCACTGTGCATACTGATGGTGTCCTCCATACTGATGTGTCGTCGAGCCCGGTACATCTGGGCGGCGTTATTTCTCTGCTGCTGTCGCCGATCCTCTCCGGCTGTTTCCTCTTCTGTGGTATCGGTTCTGTAACATTTTAATTGATATTATGCGTGATCCATAACACTTATGATTTTTAATACAGTTAAGGGAATGAATCAACTTTAAATTACATTGATATATATCTACATATATATACTTCAGGCCTGGAACTATATATTAGGAATTCTTTGACAAAAGGTTATACAAAAGAAAATGCTAGAAGCTTTCCACACACAGAAAGATTTCTAATCATTTTTCGAGGAAATGTCACTGTCTTCTCATTAATTTTAGCTGACAGTATTTTATATGAAATATCAATGAAACAAAATAAAACTCATGTTAAGTAAGTTATTTCATTATAGTTAAGTGGGCGATTACTCAACCCTATTTGCATAAAAGGTAAGAAGAAAGCTGTATTCTGTTATTTTACCACCCCTCCCACATAATTCTGAATAGCAACAGTCAAGACAAGGTTGATACCTACCCTGTGGGTCGTTCCCACTGTGTTGACCTGGTCTGTGTGTTGACATAATATGTTCTACCATTGGAATCCATTCTCTCCTGCCAACCATTGGGTAGGTCACTGCTTCCTAATGCCCTGTAACCATACAAATCATACAAATAAGTTCTTATCCTGTCAACTATTGGGTAGGTCACTGCTTCCTAACGCCTTGTAACCATACAAATCATACAAATAAGTTCTTATCCTGCCAACCATTGGGTAGGTCACTGCTTCCTAATGCCCTGTAACCATACAAATCATACAAATAAGTTCTTATCCTGCCAACTATTAGGTAGGTCACTGCTTCCAAAAGCCCTGTAACCATACAAATCATACAAATAAGTTCTTATCCTGCCAACTATTAGGTAGGTCACTGCTTCCAAAAGCCCTGTAACCATACAAATCATACAAATAAGTTCTTATCCTGCCAACTATTAGGTAGGTCACTGCTTCCAAAAGCCCTGTAACCATACAAATCATACAAATAAGTTCTTATCCTGCCAACTATTAGGTAGGTCACTGCTTCCAAAAGCCCTGTAACCATACAAATCATACAAATAAGTTCTTATCCTGCCAACTATTAGGTAGGTCACTGCTTCCAAAAGCCCTGTAACCATACAAATCATACAAATAAGTTCTTATCCTGCCAACTATTAGGTAGGTCACTGCTTCCAAAAGCCCTGTAACCATACAAATCATACAAATAAGTTCTTATCCTGCCAACTATTAGGTAGGTCACTGCTTCCAAAAGCCCTGTAACCATACAAATCATACAAATAAGTTCTTATCCTGCCAACTATTAGGTAGGTCACTGCTTCCAAAAGCCCTGTAACCATACAAATCATACAAATAAGTTCTTATCCTGCCAACTATTAGGTAGGTCACTGCTTCCAAAAGCCCTGTAACCATACAAATCATACAAATAAGTTCTTATCCTGCCAACTATTAGGTAGGTCACTGCTTCCAAAAGCCCTGTAACCATACAAATCATACAAATAAGTTCTTATCCTGCCAACTATTAGGTAGGTCACTGCTTCCAAAAGCCCTGTAACCATACAAATCATACAAATAAGTTCTTATCCTGCCAACTATTAGGTAGGTCACTGCTTCCAAAAGCCCTGTAACCATACAAATCATACAAATAAGTTCTTATCCTGCCAACTATTAGGTAGGTCACTGCTTCCAAAAGCCCTGTAACCATACAAATCATACAAATAAGTTCTTATCCTGCCAACTATTAGGTAGGTCACTGCTTCCAAAAGCCCTGTAACCATACAAATCATACAAATAAGTTCTTATCCTGCCAACTATTAGGTAGGTCACTGCTTCCAAAAGCCCTGTAACCATACAAATCATACAAATAAGTTCTTATCCTGCCAACTATTAGGTAGGTCACTGCTTCCAAAAGCCCTGTAACCATACAAATCATACAAATAAGTTCTTATCCTGCCAACTATTAGGTAGGTCACTGCTTCCAAAAGCCCTGTAACCATACAAATCATACAAATAAGTTCTTATCCTGCCAACTATTAGGTAGGTCACTGCTTCCAAAAGCCCTGTAACCATACAAATCATACAAATAAGTTCTTATCCTGCCAACTATTAGGTAGGTCACTGCTTCCAAAAGCCCTGTAACCATACAAATCATACAAATAAGTTCTTATCCTGCCAACTATTAGGTAGGTCACTGCTTCCAAAAGCCCTGTAACCATACAAATCATACAAATAAGTTCTTATCCTGCCAACTATTAGGTAGGTCACTGCTTCCAAAAGCCCTGTAACCATACAAATCATACAAATAAGTTCTTATCCTGCCAACTATTAGGTAGGTCACTGCTTCCAAAAGCCCTGTAACCATACAAATCATACAAATAAGTTCTTATCCTGCCAACTATTAGGTAGGTCACTGCTTCCAAAAGCCCTGTAACCATACAAATAAGTTCTTATCCTGCCAACTATTAGGTAGGTCACTGCTTCCAAAAGCCCTGTAACCATACAAATCATACAAATAAGTTCTTATCCTGCCAACTATTAGGTAGGTCACTGCTTCCAAAAGCCCTGTAACCATACAAATCATACAAATAAGTTCTTATCCTGCCAACTATTAGGTAGGTCACTGCTTCCAAAAGCCCTGTAACCATACAAATCATACAAATAAGTTCTTATCCTGCCAACTATTAGGTAGGTCACTGCTTCCAAAAGCCCTGTAACCATACAAATCATACAAATAAGTTCTTATCCTGCCAACTATTAGGTAGGTCACTGCTTCCTAATGCCCTGTAACCATACAAATCATACAAATAAGTTCTTATCCTGCCAACTATTAGGTAGGTCACTGCTTCCTAACGCCCTGTAACCATACAAATAAGTTCTTATCCTGCCAACTATTAGGTAGGTCACTGCTTCCTTAAGTCCTGTAACCATACAAATCATACAAATAAATTCTTATCCTGCCAACTATTAGGTAGGTTACTGCTTCCTTACGCCCTGTAACCATACAAATCATACAAATAAATTCTTATCCTGCCAGTTATTAGGTAGGTCACTGCTTCCAAAAGCCCTGTAACCATACAAATCATACAAATAAGTTCTTATCCTGCCAACTATTAGGTAGGTCACTACTAGTAAAAGCCCTGTAATCATACAAATAAGTTCTTATCCTGCCAATTATTGGGTAGGTCACTTCTTCCTAATGCCCTGCAATCATACCAATAGGTTCTTATCCTGCCAACTGGGGGGAATGTCACTGCTTCCTAAAGCCCTGTAAATTTCACTTCACATGGAAACAAATGTTTGCATACATAGTGCATAATAAAAATGCTTTTATGATATCATTAGACCTTCAACATTACTTGTTAATGCAAATGATCTTAGCTGTTGATAAACCATAAAACAACACAAAACATTATGGCAACAGTATTCCACTGAAACGAAAGAACATCAGTTAAGCAAATAAATAACAGAGAAATAACATGATCATATTTCCTGTTTTGATATATTTACATTATTTAAAACAGAAGTGTATGCTTTCTAGATAAGTTTCTACATCAAGACACAGCTACTACCAGGCTTAGACCAATAAGGCCATTGTGTTACCAGTGAGACTTACCCTGTGGGAGGGTCCCACTGTGTTGTTCGTGTGGTATGATTGATGTAGTATTTTCTTTGGTTGTCCGGATGTATCCTCATCTCCCATCCAGGGGGCAGGGGATCAGAGCTACTCGCCTCCTGGGTCGGGCCAGACGCACCGGCCTCATTAATACTGTTGGACATATCTACAAACTCCCATCCTGTCTGTAAAATGTAATACAAGTTTGAATATCATGGAGGTCAACACTTACTCAAAATCATCAGTATGTACATATAATAAATCAAATGTTACTGCTTTTTAATGCACGTATTCAGGAATGTTCAAGTTTTGACGTACTTAAAACTACAAGCTAATGGCCACCCAATAAATCCTGCACTCACTTTTTTTGTTTAAATTGACTAATTAAAATAACATGAAAAATACATTGCAGAGTAAACAACAACTTTGCCTAGTGATTAAATGTCCAATGTTTCATTGAAATTGATGCAGCACTTCAGGAGAAGTAGTCAGCGTACTCATTTTTGAGCATTCCAATTTTAGCTCAATATCAAATTTCAAAAGAATAGCACATTTATGAATGGGAACAGCCACACAATATGCAATAAAAAAACAATTTACACTTTAAGTGTGACACTCTGAAATAAATCAGTGCAATATCTAAAGGTTGAATAGTTCTAAAATAAGGCTACTGTTAAAACATGTACATTTGAAGTATATTGCACAGTGTTAAAGTGAACCAATTTCATTGGGTTGCTATAGTTGTGAACAACTTTGTCTACAGACAGATGGACAAACATTTTAATCCCCAGTTTAAACCCTCTATCTTCAATTTGGGGGTGGGGCGGGGGTTAAAACATTTTTTGGGTAACTTATTAACAAATATATTGTAAAACACAACTAGTATTCAGTTAAAGTACCTGACCCACCTCTTGTGGGGTCTGTCCAGCAGCAGTATCTTCACCTTCCTCATCCTCCTCTGTGTCCGACGATGGTAACAAAGCCAGATACAGCCATAGGTGACCTTTGACTCTTGATCTTACACTGGAACAGAAATTTGTACATATTTAACTTTTCAATAAATTTCAGATTTTAAAACTGCTTACCAGAATGTCCAGCAGGTAATATTAATTTAAATATCTTCTTTTTTTGGGGGGGGGGTTCTGGAAATATTCAAAACTATTCAGTGGTTAAATAAGTACTTTTAGCAGTGCAAAGATCACAGGGACAGGTCACAGACACCAATAAACCTCTGATAAAGCTGATAACAAGTTGTTGATTTTTTTATCGAGGAAGGAGTAGGATGAACTGTAGATTGAGATATTCAGAGAGTATTAAATGACAGTAATAAAAGAATCACAAATAAGAAGTCCAAATGGCCTGTATTGTCTTGTGGTTAGCCTCTGACAATTGCAAGATAGATGCTACTTTCCTTTGATTATAACAAGAACCAACGCTGAACTAAATTCATAATTCTGCATTCATCAAGTTCATTTGAAAATGGTAGAGCAAGAACTGTGTGTTTTTGAAAATCATTGGTACTTTGGGTAATTAATGCTCCATAAAACAGATATAAACCTATCTCTCCTGTCAGTTGTGTTTACTTAAGAAGTAATCCTAAGAAAACCTATCTCTCCTGTCAGTTGAGTTTACTTTAGAAGTAATCCTATGAAAACCTATCTTTGTGTCAGTTGTTTACTTTAGAAGTAATCCTATGAAAACCTATCCCTCCTGTCAGTTGTGTTTACTTCAGAAGTAATCCTATGAAAACCTATCTCTCCTGTCAGTTGTGTTTACTTAAGAAGTAATCCTATGAAAACCTTTCTCTCCTGTCAGTTGTGTTTACTTTAGAAGTAATCCTATGAAAACCTATCTCTCCTATCAGTTGTGTTTACTTAAGAAGTAATCCTATGAAAACCTATCTCTCCTGTCAGTTGTGTTTACTTTAGAAGTAAGCCTATGAAAACCTATCTCTCCTGTCAGTTGTGTTAACTTTAGAAGAAATACTATGAAAACCTATCTCTCCTGTCAGTTGTGTTTACTTAAGAAGTAATCCTATGAAAACCTATCTCTCCTGTCAGTTGTGTTAACTTTAGAAGTAATCCTATGAAAACCTATCTCTGCTGTCAGTTGTGTTAACTTTAGAAGTAATCCTATGGAAACCTATCTCTCCTGTCAGTTGTGTTAACTTTAGAAGAAATCCTATGAAAACCTATCTCTCCTGTCAGTTGTGTTTACTTTAGAAGTAATACTATGAAAAACTATCTCTGTGTCAGTTGTGTTTACTTTAGAAGAAATCCTATGAAACCCTATCTCTCCTGTCAGTTGTCTTTACTTTAGAAGCAATCCTATGAAAACCTATCTCTCCTGTCAGAAGTAATCCTATGAAACCCTATCTCTCCTGTCAGTTGTGTTTACTTTAGAAGAAATCCTATGAAAACCTATCTGTGTGTCAGTTGTGTTTACTTTAGAAGAAATCCTATGAAAACCAATCTCTGTGTCAGTTGGGTTTACTTTAGAAGTAATCCTATGAAACCCTATCTCTCCTGTCAGTTGTCTTTACTTTAGAAGTAACCCTATGAAAACCTATCTCTCCTGTCAGTTGTGTTTACTTTAGAAGTAATCCTATGAAAATCTATCTCTCTTGTCAGTTGTGTTTACTTTAGAAGTAATCCTATGAAAACCTATCTCTCCTGTCAGTTGTCTTTACTTTAGAAGAAACCCTATGAAAACCTTTGAAACTAATGAATTGACAGTTTCCTTTCATAATCACAGCTGATAGTTTGGAAAGATTAGTATATGAATGAAATAATAGAATATTGGTCTGCAAGTAAAGTCAAAGGAAATGATTTTTGTTTTTACACAAAGTATAAGTATGTACATGTAGGACTCAGAAGTATAATCCTATGACACACAAACAACACATGAAATTTCTAAAAATGTCCAAAATAGCTAAAAATCTGTTCAAATATCACTATACTGTCATGATAGTACAAATATCAATTCCTAGTATTTCTGATTTGACAATAAGTTTTTATATATGCAAACTTAAGCTAAATTTTCTCTAAATTGTTGTAAGAGTCTGATCTTTGGAAATTGGTTGAACTCCAGAAGGATGACGCGACTACTAATGGTAGATACTGTATACCGTTTTGTCAGTCGAAACAGGTGAGCTCAAATGATTCAAATACTACAAGTAACATACCATGAAACATGAGTCTATGATTACAACAGGATTAACTGAAGAAAATCAATTTGTAAAACTTGAACAAATATTGTTTTTATTTAAAGCAGCCAGACCTGACAAACATCAACAATAATGAGAAGCAGCATAAAAGATAACAAAATGAAATCAAGTACGATATGTGTACTTAAGTGCATGTACTGGAAAATAAGTCCACTAGTTTACATTCCTGTTTTAAAGTATCATAACATCTAGAATTGTGCTTTTATGATATAATGGTTTCAACAATAAAGCAATGGAATTCAAATAATTTTAAACAGCAAATTTATAATATATGCTGATGCTAAAACTATACTGGGTTGCTGAAATGGTGTAGGAAAATAAAAGAGTTATATGAGACTGGTCAGTCTGTTAGTATGCAGTACAGACATGCTGTCCAGTGTGGCCATTCCTGGTGGTCAGAGAAAGAGAGAGTAGTCATCCAAAAAATCAGTCAGAGGTCATCTCAACTACTCACAATCGATTCCACCGTCTGTTTATAGCAAAAATACAATTACATTCAGCTTTTATTTTTAATTATTTTCACCATAGACTGACAGGGACAAAACAGATGAAGAATCAAGTTACTTATATATTCAGCAGACAAAACATTTAAGGGGAATATTAATTTCACTTTAAAAGATTTCTGAAATTGATCTTGTTTTTACGTATTACCAGAGTAAAATTTTATTCTATTGGCCTAACATTTATAGAGTCTGAGTTTTGAAGACTATTGAACATTATTCATTGCTGGCAAAAAGAATTTAAGGTAAGTTTTGTATTTTAATAGATACAATTTACAATGGGGATTTGGAAACCCACCCAAAAACATCACATTTATATTTACAACCCTTTGTTTTAGTTAGAAATGGATTGCACTTATGAACGAATCATGAAGTTAATGGTAAACACTGATTTTTGTGTGCAAAGAATGAAAGACAATATAAGTTACTCCTCTTTGGAAAACCATTGTAATATTTGTACAAAGCAATGACACAGACCCTCACTCTGATGTAGAATGGACAATATATCTAATAACACAGTCTACAGGGGTCACCTAAAGAAGACACATTCAAATCTATTTTGGTTAAATGTAACATCAGTTTAATATAATAATGTTTACAATATACATGCATACAAAAACTAGCACACCGTCAAGTACAAACTCACTTCCAGATCCCTCCAAAAATAACCCAAATATTACTAAACAATATTTTAAGACAAATACTACTAATATTTTGAACTTATTATATGGGCCCATCAGCTTACTAAAAACATTTTTTTTATATTTCAGTGCACAAACTGCATGCTGTTTGTCAAAAATGTATCATGTGCCAATGCAAGATAAAGATAAACACATTCTTATCAGGTAAGTCCTGATTCTCTGACACAAAACTTCTCACTGTTGTGTTTCAGCAGAACATTTAACTGCTCTGGCAGGTACAGTGACATGCTTACCTGCGAGGTCTGAGGATGTAGTCTTTGGCCGGCACATCACGTCCCGTTCTCTCACAGATGATACTGGTGTGGGCCAGTGGGATCTCCACCAATCCCAAGAAGTCATCTCGGGTCTAAAATATAACATGGAGACATTTCGCTTGATCATTCCTGTGATAGATTTGGAAAAATAGGGTAGATGGATAGGCCAAAATGTCAGTTTTTTTTATAAAGGAAACAATTATTAGATAATTAAATTATATAATGACCAATTATTAATTTAATATTTTATATAAGTGATTTTTTTTTGCTCAGTTTTACAGCCGAATACAGACTGTTTCCCCTAGCTAAAAAGTGTTGTATTTTCCCCAAAATGACCAAAAAAATAAGAATATATTCCCAATTTCAATAAATATAATGCTATATAAAGGAACAGGCTGTTGTTAAATTTAGGTAGCAAAAACACTGTATATCTTCTTAAAAACTACTGGTATGTGACTGTCAAGATTTCAAGAAGAAACATTATGTTGTTAACATGAAGATGGAGGTTGAGGTTCACGTGAGAAACTCAATCTTTCGGAAGGTGAATACATACATTCATTAATAATGGACTCAGTAGTTTATTATGCAGCAAGCATGATGGTAGCTTATATCTAGAACTTGATCTCAATTTCTGATACTTACCACTCTGTTTGAATCAAACACTTCAAACAATAACACATTGTCTCTAGGGTTTACCTGAAATTCAACAACAGATTCTTGTTTAATAGCCTTACAGATTCTCTACCTCAGAAATACTAAGTATCAACATTAACTATAAACTCTTTTAAAAACATGCAATGTTTAGTATTTCAGAACGGAATGACTGCGCATCAATCAATCATTGTAACTACATGTGCAAATATTTAAGGCAGTTTTGAAAATGAATGTCAACAATATCCATTATTTTATCTGCATCTGTGTATATAATATCTCAAACTGCTTTTAATTTTCTTAAAGTACAGTATACAGGCCAAATTAACTGCTTCACTCATTGTTTTGGTCTGTATAAATTCACCCCTCTCCTAATAAATGAACATATTTTACGAAACTTTACCATAATAAATGGCATGTCTTAGTCCCCATATTTAGTTTGTTATAACAACAAGAAGCAAAACACCTGAATATCAACTTACTCTGAACAGGAACTCTTGCTCCCATTTTGGATTCAATGTCTGAAAATAAATCAGAGTATATCATTTATTGTTGACATAATATAACGTACATTTAAAGAATTTCTCCTAAATCTGAACATTGAATAGTACTAGCTAGACCCTCTTTTAAGATAGGTGGTGGGGAAATGGCTGTATAGAAGCTTTGAGTTGAAGTTTCTAGTGTGGAAATTACAACTGAAACATGTATACCATGAACATGTATTTAAATTAGCCTAAACCATTATTACTAGGAACATTTCTGGTGCCAATCACACATCCCCCCTGTGGATTTCCCCCTTATCACGTTGTTAATACAATCTCATATACAGTTCCTATAACTCAAACCCATTGCTTACAGGGCTAACTAAAAAACATTTAATTAGGACCTGATTATTCCAGTACAGCATCGTATTTACCTTTTTGATGACAGCGGTGTTGGCACTATCTATAATACCGGCTTCCCGGTCACCTCGGTACAGGCTGATTTTCACATATGGGTCACTGAAATAAAATTATTTTGTGTTTCTGGTAATGCATTCATACTATTAATGAAAACATACAATCTTTCATACTGACAAAAGCAAAGTTAACTTGATATTTCTATGGGTAAATATAATAATGAATCACCTGTTTGATATGAGCTCTGGCATTCTCTACAGAACACTGCTGTTACAACTTCTTCAACATGTTTTACTAATGGTCAATACAAAACAGCGAATGTCATGTATGCCCAGTTTAAGAAAAGGAGATTTCCCACCATAAATAATGTATCTAGTCAAGTGACCTTTTGGCTATATCTTGAGTACACATAGACAGTTGTTGCCTGCCAATAAAAGTTGTCAGTCTCTGCTTATACTGGGCTGGTAACTACAAATTTCTTGATTTCCTCAGATTTATGCAAAAAAAAATATCTCTGAATATAACTTAAATGATATGGTTCATATACTGTATCATAAACAATTGCTGGGCAGGACGAGAGAAATACAGCCAGGATTGGCCCAGGGACCTGACTTAGTCCCTAGGTAATAACATTGAATGTGATTTTCATACACAATTAAACCATTAAGCCTTATTATACTGCTACAAGTTGTCCAGATAAAGTTTGGTATTATTGAAATTTGTTGACAGTAAGCAAGATGGCAAACAGAGCGTGGGGTACTGTATCAAGGTTTCACTGTACATGTATACAATTGTTAGGCAAAACAAGATATATATATTAATAACTTATCATAAGATAAGTAAGCAGGGTTGGACCAGGGGTCCTGCCCCACCCTTGGGGACAAATTAGTTCAAATGGCATACTACTTGAAAATGGCCGAGATCCTAACCCAATAACAACTTACATAATTGCATGCAGGTTAAACAACACAACTGATGATCCTTGACAATTATCAAAATCAGAAGTCAAATTATACTTTCTCTGACATTTGAAGGGTCAAAACATGTGTTAAACTAATATTAATACCCGGCCTCCTCTGTCCCGGCCGGGTATTAGATTGATCCCATGCCTTGTAATAGAGCAAGCCTGGTGTGAATCCCACGGGGCGATTTTTGAATAAATTGACAGCACATTTCTGTTGAAGTTAAGCTCTACCTAAAATGTTGTTAAATTATCAAGTTAACGTAGCAAGTGCAATGGGAATCTGAATTGACTGCCATGTTGGAAAGTTCGTCTCTCTTCCTATATTGGTCAGGCGTCTAAATATGGGTTTCATGACCCAATATGGAAATTGTAGTAAACATGGCGGCTAGTGTTAAACAAAGGTCCTTACAAACCAAACTATGAAAGCTATTTTTTAATTCAAAACACTCCTAGCAGTCAACTCAATATATCCCTGTGTAGTGGAACTGGACTGGCAGTGACCTCAATTGTTTGAGCATCTGTCAAGAGTTTGGAGTGTCCAAGGTTTAAACCCCAGTCTGGCTGTGCAATTTTCCATCTCCTGTTACACCTGCCACACCTTATGTTGAGAGCAGGGCTCTAAACACCAACCAACCGATATCATGTCAATTGATAGCCCTAATTTACCACTGTGCTTCAGTACCAATATGTAACCCAGCCTCCAACAATAAATAGTATGATAATCATGGTCAGTCCAGGTCAGTCCAGGTCATCCGGAGTTGACAGGATCATCACGAGGATGGGACACACTAAGTTATTATTATTGAATTAAGCATTCATTTGCATGATCACTATTGAGGTTAAGATTAAAGTTAATTCGTTAGTGTCATTTTTGTCCATGTTTACGCATTGACGAATAAAATAAGTGTTGTAAAACACAAATACAACACGAGATGTTCCTCACATGACCCTTTCAGTGTCAGATAATATATAGGGCAAGTTCAGCCTAATTTGGTTAGCTATTTTGAGTTTCCTCAACATGTGTAGTGTTACGTCTATGCTAGCACATATACATGAATAATTATGTATATGGTGTCCCCCTTACCTTGCACCAAATATGTCTTTTTTCGCTAAGTTTGTTCCGCTGATAACTTTGATTCGCAAAACCCGAGTTGTCCCCGGTTGATCCGACTGAAATATGTCAAGTGAGAAATTAGACAGGTTTAGAAATAAGACAAGATTATTCCAGTGACAAGTGATTCGACAGGTCAGACAGACAGTTATCATACCTACCGACAATTCGGGTAAGCCTAGAATTTGCGTGTGTACAGCCATGCAAGATATTAAATTATCAGACTCGGTCTCTTCGTCAATGTTGATATTCCTTGGACAGAACCCATTTCTACTGCGCATGGACAGAACACGGAAGATCCCGGATGTTACGAAATAACCCAGCCCTGTAAATTTACAAAAATAACTCACGCACTTGCTTACATAGAACATTGATAGCGACTATACAAAAAATATTCCATTGGAGAATATAATAAAGTAGACCTATATATCGGTAAATAAATGTTTTTATTGATATTTTTAAGGATCTCGGTAAGGGTTTCATCATGCATATTATCAGAGACGTCTCTGATATTATATGTTTGTTTCGCAATGGACATATTATATAAAATATGGGCGTCACGGGAGACGTTAGTCTCTGGCATCACCAACACTATTGCGAAATAAAATATAAAAACACCACTATAGGTACATGATGAAACCTTCTTCATCTTCATCTTTTAAGCTTCCTCCGTCGATACCGACGATTACGGAAGTTATTCAAAAATTTCGATAGAATCAGATATTTTTAGACAAGTTATAAATTAAAAACTGACTTACGTATACGTCAACCAAATAATAGCTATTTCCACGAAATTAGATTAGATCTAAGTCCGTGCTATTTCATCACATTGAAAATTATGTCAAAGTATACGTATGATCACGGAATTAGATTAGACTATATGAGTCCGTGGTATGATTTACTATATGGTTGTGACTTAGTTATTTATTATATTTATGGAGCGGAGAGATTTTATAGGGATGCTCAGTCATGACCCATTTTTATTTAAGGGACGGTATCAGAGGCTGAGCTCTCGATGTATCTCCAACCGAAAGAGAGTTCCAGTTGCTCAATTTTTTTCTCTCTTAATTTGAGGTGCTTTCCCATACATTCACTCATCAATACGAAAGTTTATCTTGGCTATTGTTTCCTTTTTAACAAAAACTTCACCGCCACGGGGATTCGATCTCCTGACCCGTTATAAAGTTGAGAGCTTATTTACTGCACTACCGATCATGATATTTCTTATGCTAAGATATAAATTGACAATGATATCAAAATGTCTCAACCCCATAAAAGGCCCCGCAACCTATAATTGCCTTTTTGGTATACAGAGGAAATATTAAAAAAAAAAATACAGGAAAATAAGATTTCAATGTTTGTATGCAGTAAACAAAAGTGTCGAAACTCTCAAGCTGCGAAAGCCAAACGATAGCGACAAGAAATCAAACCAGTTAACAGTTGTTTTTTCTTTGCTGTTCATATGTTCATATATGATGAACACTTATTTTCACGATTTATTTTAGTTTTAATGATTTTTTCTTTCGCTTTGTTGTGACGTTTCCGCCTTCTGTTGGTAGAGTTTCGTATACACTTTAAGTTCCGAAGTTGTCCATGTTAATTAAGATTGAAGTATAAATTAAATGTGTTTTCTTTGTGCTATTAAAGACTCGGCTATCATATATTTCATAAGATAAGGTTTGATAATAATCAAGAGTGAGTAGACTGGGTTGTTGATTGTTCGTTGTAGCAGACACTATAGGTGTTTTACTATTGGCGTCCCTGCATGTAGGGCGTAAGAATTGTACCTGCTGCCCCTATTGCATGATCGTAAGAGGCGACTTAATTTGGGATCTTATCTTTTCTCTTCTTTCTAAACAACTTTCTTCTTCCTAATGTCTCTCATGACAATGCCTCACTTTTGGCCTTTAGTTATGCGTTCGCCCCTGTGGGGAAGGCTTTGGGTTCTGTCCCCTGGCCGAAACATACCAGAGTCTGTAAATATGGTAGTTTCTACTCCTGCTTAAGGCTGAGTAATTTAGGAGTGGGACGACTGGTTTGCCCGTTGTCAGTATAATGTGACTGAGTGGGGTGTCCTGCTGGGTGCCTTCGGCAGAATGTTTCAGTGAGGTAGCACTATAAAGTCGGTTCAACACGAACATATCACAGCCTCCCAAAACACACACGCATACACTATACGCATGCATCTTGCACACAGAAGAGGCCGTCCTTAACTGACCATAGCTATTGTTAGAAGGTTAAACAATACTTAACCAAACCAAACCAAACTAAACTTCTACTATAAGAGCATAACATCATTAGTGTTACATTACAATGTGTCTGGTGTCTGTGTGTATAACATGAGTTATCATTAGTGTAATCTACAATGTATCTGGTGGTCGGGTGGTTCAGTGGATAGCGCACTTGCCTTTCACCAAGGCGGCTGGGGTTCAAGTCCCCGATCGGACGTGAAATGGTTGGGGTCACCTGTCCGAACACGTGGGTTTTCTCCGGTTACCCCGGTTTCCTCTATCAATAAGACCCCCACGCGCTAACAACAGGGCTAGCAAGATTGACTAATATAAGTTGAAATAACTTGTTTCATAATTGTTGTAAAATAAATAAAGTTGTTTTTTTAATATATATATCTTGTGTCTGTGTGTATTACAGGTGTTATCATTAGTGTTACATTACAATGTATCTAGTGTCTGTGTGTATAACAGGAGTTGTCATTAGTGTAATCTACATTGTATCTTGTGTCTGTGTGTATAACAGGAGCTGTCATTGGTGTTACATTACAATGTATCTGGTATCTGTGTATATAACAGGAGGTATCATTAGTGTTACATTACAATGTATCTTGTGTCCGTGTGTATGACAGGAGTTGTCATCAGTGTAATCTACAATGTATCTTGTGTCTGTGTGTATAACAGGAGCTGTCATTAGTGTAATCTCCAATTATCTGGTATCTGTGTGTATAACAGGAGGTATCATTAGTGTTACATTACAATGTATCTGGTGTCTTTGTGTATAACATGAGTTGTCATTAGTGTAATCTACAATGTATCTTATGTCTGTGTCTATAACAGGAGCTGTCACTAGTGTAATCTACAATTTATCTGGTATCTGTGTGTATAACAGGAGCTGTCATTGGTGTTGCATTACAATGTATCTGGTATCTGTGTGTATAACAGGAGGTATCATTAGTGTTACATCACAATGTATCTAGTGTCTTTGTGTATAACAGGAGCTGTGATTAGTGTAATCTACAATGTATCTTATGTCTGTGTCTATAACAGGAGATGTCACTAGTGTAATCTACAATTTATCTGGTATCTGTGTGTATAACAGGAGCTGTCATTGGTGTTACATTACACTGTATGTGGTATCTGTGTGTATAACAGGAGGTATCATTAGTGGTACATTACAATGTATCTTGTGTCCGTGTGTATGACAGGAGTTGTCATCAGTGTAATCTACAATGTATCTTGTGTCTGTGTGTATAACAGGAGCTGTCATTGGTGTTGCATTACAATGTATCTGGTATCTGTGTGTATAACAGGAGGTATCATTAGTGTTACATTACAATGTATCTAGTGTCTTTGTGTATAACATGAGTTGTCATTAGTGTAATCTACAATGTATCTTATGTCTGTGTCTATAACAGGAGCTGTCACTAGTGTAATCTACAATTTATCTGGTATCTGTGTGTATAACAGGAGGTATCATTAGCGTTACACTACAATGTATCTGGTGTCTGTGTGTATAACAGGAGCTGTGATCAGTGTAATCTACATTTTATCTGGTGTTTGTGTGTATAACAGGAGTTGTCATCAGTGTTACCTTAAAATGTATCCGGTGTTTGTGTGCACAGTAAAAGTTGTTATAAGTTAAAGTTCAGCTGTGTAGTAAAATAAGTAAAAACATTTGCCCGTTAGTAAATAAGTAATCTGTCCGGATGGAATAAACTTCAATTAGCTTCCGTATAAATATTAGTGGATAAAGGGTAATGTCGTGAAAAACTACATAGAAAAAAATGTGCCGAGAATGACAGAAACGGGAAAAGTTGAGATTCCAAGTACTAGTATTACAATGTGTGAAGCGGGACATTTTCGTTTCTTCAATGTCTGTTAAACAGAAGGACACAGTAATTTTTCGCATTATTTTTTAGGTACCTTCCAGTGACATGTTAAGATGATCATGTAGCGTGATATACATGTAGCACGAGATGAACAGCTACCATACAGCTGACACCAGCAGGTATACAGCTAATATATACAAAACGGATGGTTTTACAGCAGACATCAGCTGATGTACAACAGAGAACAGCTGATATAAAGTAGAGATCAGATGATATACGACTGTACGGCTGGTATACAGCAGATAATAGCGACAGATACATGATGGTATATCACAGCGAACGAACAGCTGGTATTCAGCGTAGATCAGCTGGTATATCGCGCAGCGCTGCTGGTATACAGCAGCTAAGAGCTTTTATACAATGGTATACAACAGATAAATGTTGGTATATCACGGAGAACGAAGAGCTGATATCCAGCGCAGAGCAGCTGGTATACCACACAGAGCAGCTGGTATACCACACAGAGCAGCTGGTATACCACACAGAGCAGCTGGTATACCACACAGAGCAGCTGGTATGCCACACAGAGCAGCTGAGAATAGCTTTCATACACTGGTATACAGCAGATAAATGTGTGTATACCACAGAGAACGAACAGCTGACATTCAGCGCAGAGCAGCTGGTATACAGCAGATAATAACTGTTATACACTGGTAAACAGCAGATATACGCTGGTATTTCACTGAAAACGAACAGCTGATATCCAGCGAAGAACAGCTTTTATACAATAGAGAACAGCTGGTAATTAGTACACCCTATATAGTATACGATATTTATAAATAGGAACTTTGGGAGAGTAGATATATACTATAGACTATGATCGGGGCATAGAACAATAAGATTTTTGTTTCATTTCGGAATGGCAAACAATGAAAACATTCCAACCCTGTATTGATGCTTAGTACTTTCTATAATTAAATTAATACAGGCTACACAAGACTGAGGCACACGAACCCAGCAGATGTACATCTTTCAGAAACATCATGGTACACGTGTATGCACGTGTTTCCTTTAACTTGGAAAGTGCTTGCGTGTTTTGTCTGTATGGGTGATGAGATACAAGCCATTGTACGCTCTTAGTTATACTTACAGTCATCTTCATTTATCCCAACCAAGAAACGCATCAAAATGCGAACGCGTTAGCTAGCTATATCAAAATTTAAAATATGAAATTTGTTAAATGCATACATTACAATGGAATTGCATTTGCGTTGAATAAATATTCACCAAATGAACCAAGAATAAGATACGACGTTCAAATAAAGCTGTACCATAAAAACATCATTGGGTATGTCACCAACGATATACGCTGCTGCTACCTGGAATGTGTGTTTGAAGGAAATGTGACGTACCCTGAATCCCCTAGGGTACTAGTATACTACTACAATCTATAAGGGTACTGCTAATACAACATTCCAAACTTGAATAAAGGTTACGTGTATAGAAATAAAATAAACTGTTTTAGTTGAAATCATATATAAATATATTCTTAATTGTTATTTTTCTATTTGATAAAGTTTTGTCTTTTGTTCCGACTTTTATCATGTTAAGACATGACATCTTTATTTTAAACTTCATGTATATAATTTGTCTTATATTTAAAAATTGAGCTGCTTTCAGTTGGCATTTTGACTATAAATCTTCACAGTGAATTATGTTTAACTGAACTGTAACTGCAAAACAAAATTATACTATTGTTCCGGAAAATAATATGATTGTTACCGGATTTCTTTTTACAAATTAGTGTTAATATTTTTTTATTTTTTTTATTATTCAGGTAGAGAAAATAAGGCAACTTTATTACAGAATGATACACTTATTTCAGAAAGATTCAGTTAATTATTACAGAACATGAACAAAATATAATATGATACGATACAATTATGACCGTCTATAGTTGAAACCATATTCTATTTCATTGTCTTTTTTGTCATACACAATATACCTAAGCAAGCACAGGATTCAGAATAAAAGTATTTAAATACTTATATGAATCTGTCTCCTTAATAACTGACAAGCGGATGACAACAGTACAAAGTTTAACAACATCGTAAGAATACTATATGTAATTACAATGATATCATTCTCACGGACTATTGTGATCCTCTCTTCACAATGATATCAATCCCGCCGACTTTTGTCATAGATCAATCCTGCACAGCTATTGTGGCCTGCCAGCCTCATGGACCGATCCAACCCCGCTGTCACAAATATCAATCCTACCGCCTATTGCTAATATCCTGTCGTAAAGAAGTCTTTTAGGCTAAAGTTCTTGTTTTGTTTACGACAGGAGACATCATAGCTGTGTTAACCAACGACGTAACCAGTGATAGCTATCTGATGAACGTATTGAAGATGACTGTGAAACTCTTTCGAAGGTGGGTCGGAGGTGGTAGAAAGCCTATATTTTGACCTGGTGAACACAACGAAATACAAGCCTTTGCGGGGCAAAGCATCCTCGATACTCCAGGGGGTACGTTCACTTACGCTCCCTGCACCACTGGAATATGTCAAAGCAAGATTGAAGGCACGCGGCTAGCAATTTGATCGGTCTCAGGCAGAAAAAAGACCAATCGCTAGGCTGATACCTGGGCATTTGAAGATTACAAGTTTCAAGTTAATTGGTTTCCTCAGATTCATTACCATGTACAAATATTAAGTACCGTACAGAGGAGCGACACCCAACTACAAAGCCAGTGAATTTTACCGTTACGCGACCGAGCAATTCTTTTGATGCCCTTCAAAGTATCAAACTAGTTCCCTCGTCTCATCCACAAGGTGGTGCACACTGAACCTTCGATGTTGTCATGACATATCCCAGGGCACAGAGAGCGTAAGTGAGCATAACCCATGGAATATCGAGGATTGGGCAAAATAGCCATTGTGTATGCTGTGTCAGTTGTATACATTTTGACGGACAGCAGGTTGCAGAATTACAAATTACAGTTGAAGGAGGAGAACATGTAGATATTACAGCCTGTGTGGAAAATGTAATGAGCGAAATTTAATCTTGTATGTTGTTTTTTTTAAATTGATTTATTGGAATGTGTGAACAGTGTGCTAACTATGAGGGTAACAACACCAATGTCAATGTATGACTAAATGGCAAATGACATCACGTCATAATACAATGTAGTATAATCTGAGCGCGCTTTCATTCTCGGGCTTCAATCAAATACAAACTATTACGGATTATATTATTATTTGCATGTTATTGTATGTACTTAATCAATATGTGCTTTATAACTTACATACCATGGTTGATATTAAGGAAGCAGAAATGACTTATACGGGTAGCGTTATTTTATCACATTTTTCGTTCACTTCTTAAGCGTTATCTTCACGTTCAACTCGATCATATACAAATCGTGACCATATGAATGTCAAATATATGAGCTTTAATTATGTCTATATGCATTCCGATAGCTCTGAAAACACATGTTTCACAAAGCCAACCGAGTGTCACAAACGTCAAATCTAAAACGGAATGACGTCAAAAGTATGTTACACTATTGTGCGTCAACATCTGACGTTACGTCAATACGGTCTAGTTCGTACTACACCCCTTTTAAACGAAACCTGCCTTGTAATAGGATTATGATGATGACGCACACCAGCCTGGCTCTATATACCTATGTGTTATATCTTGTTATCTGTGTCGTAAAGTTCAATTTGTTATTAGTACGCTCGTGTTGTGTCCCAGATCTTGCCTCTATTTTATGTGACCCTTCACTCAATATTTGGGTACAGGAAAGCTTTATATTTGCCCGACAGAAGGTGACTTCTACAACAGGTAAGCATGGAAGATTTCTCTGCTTTGTATTTCAGTGTACGGAGATAGGATACAAATGTTGTAGCATGGGATATTATATAACTATATATGTCTGTGCGTTCCAGTCTTGTAACTCTCTTACCTACTTTCCCTTTCGGTAGTGTTCTTCATACACCAGAGTAGCAATAGTGAGGACGAAAAACACAAAACTTTACCCGAAACCTATAATATATTGATAATATCATTATATAAGACATATAAGTATATGACTAAAGGTACTATTATGTGAGAAAAGTATCGAATCTTGAAACTGGACCTCACATTAGTCGCCTACAGAGACCATTAGTCTCCTACAGGACCCCACATTAGTCTCCTACATGACCCCACATAGGTCGCCTACAGGACCCCACATTAGTCGCCTACAGGGCCCCACATAAGTCGCCTACAGGGCCCCACATTAGTCACCTACATGATCCACATTAGTCGCCTACATGGCCCCACATTAGTCGCCTCCCGTACCCCACATTAGTCGCCTACAGGGCACTACATTAGTCGCCTACAGGGCCCCACATAAGTCGCCAACATGATCCACATAAGTCGCCTACAGGGCCAAACATAAGTCGCCTACAGGACCCCCCATTAGTCGCCTACAGGGCCCCACGTTAGTCGCCTACAGGGCCCCACATTAGTCGCCTACAGGGCCCCACATAAGTCGCCTACAGGGCCCCACATTAGTCGCCTACATGACCCCACATAGGTCGCCTACAGGACCCCACATTAGTCGCCTACATGACCCCACATAGGTCGCCTACAGGACCCCACATTAGTCGCCTACATGACCCCACATAAGTCGCCTCCCGGACCCCACATTAGTCGCCTACAGGGCACCACATTAGTCGCCTACAGGACCCCACATTAGTCGCCTACATGACCCCACATAAGTCGCCTCCCGGACCCCACATTAGTCGCCTACAGGGCCCCACATTAGTCGCCAACATGATCCACATTAGTCGCCTACAGGCCCTCACATTAGTCGCCTACAGAGACCCATTAGTCTCCTACAGGACCCCACATTAGTCGCCTACATGACCCCACATAGGTCGCCTCCCGTACCCCACATTAGTCGCCTACAGGGCACCACATTAGTCGCCCACAGGACCCCACATTATTCGCCTACAGTACCCCACATTAGTCGCCTACAGGGCCCCACATTAGTCGCCTACATGACCCCACATAGGTCGCCTCCCGTACCCCACATTAGTCGCCTACAGGGCCCCACATTAGTCGCCTACATGATCCACATTAGTCGCCTACATGGCCAAACATTAGTCGCCTCCCGTACCCCACATTAGTCGCCTACAGGGCACCACATTAGTCGCCTACAGGGCCCCACATTAGTCGCCTACATGATCCACATTAGCCGCCTACAGGGCCCAACATTAGTCGCCTATAGGGGCCCACATTAGTCGCCTACAGGGCCCCACATAAGTCGCCAACATGATCCACATTAGTCGCCTACATGGCCAAACATTAGTCGCCTCCCGTTCCCCACATTAGTCGCCTACAGGGCACCACATTAGTCGCCCACAGGGCCCCACATTAGTCGCCTACATGATCCACATTAGCCGCCTACAGGGCCCAACATTAGTCGCCTACATGATCCACATTAGTCGCCTACAGGGCCCAACATTAGTCGCCTACAGAACCCCCATTAGTCGCCTACAGGGCACTACATTAGTCGCCTACAGGGCCCCACATTAGTCGCCTACAGGGCCCCACATTAGTCGCCTACAGGGCCAAACATTAGTCGCCTACAGGGCCCAACATTAGTCGCCTATAGGGGCCCACATTAGTCGCCTACAGGGCCCAACATTAGTCGCCTACAGGGCCCCCCATTAGTCGCCTACAGGGCCCCACATTAGTCGCCTACATGGGCCCACTTTAGTCGCATAGCCCACTTTAGTCGCATACAGGACAGGACCCCCCATTAGTCGCCTACAGGGGCCCACATTAGTCGCCTACAGGGCCCCACATTAGTCGCCTACATGGGCCCACTTTAGTCGCATACAGGGCCCAACATTAGTCGCCTACAGGGCCCACATTAGTCGCCTACATGATCCACATTAGTCGCATACAGGGCCCAACATTAGTCGCCTACAGGACCCCCCCCCCATTAGTCGCCTACAGGGCACCACATTAGTCGCCTACTTGATCCACATTAGTCGCATACAGGGCCCCACATTATTTGCCTACAGGACCCACATTCGTCGCCTACAGGGCCCCCCTTTACTCGCCTCTTACGACATGCAGTTGGATACAACAGGCGTATTCTTTCCCGACGCCTGCACAGGTGGCAGCCAACACCGATAGTTTTACCCTGCAGTTTTTGGGTTAACAGAAAATTATATAAAACATTGTTAACAAATCTGGACTGAACATACAATACTGACTTACAAGAATTTACAAGGACTTACTTAACCAACAGGTTGGCTTTACTAATACAGACTGCGCCTTTCATATTCACGCCTTTACTTGACCTTAGCATCTAATAGGACGTTAAACAAAATAAAACAAAACAAAACAAAATATATCACATTCAATAACTAAGTTTGAAAAATGCATTTCATGAAAAGATTATATTTCAGTGGGTTATCATTTCTGGTGAGTATACATAATGCCCAGTAAGACGGATATCGCCCTAGGTACGGCCGCGGGGGTCACGGGTGCCGCCCTGGTAGCATGGAGGGCACTATTCCCCTACCTCGGGGACGACATAAGGACATACGGACCAATGATTAAAACAACGGTGAAAATCATGAAAGGACTGAAAGCCGCCGAATATTTGGTCGATGTGTTCGAGAGGCAGGTAGCCAAGGACCCTAAAAAGACTTTCTTGATTTTCGAGGACAAGTCCTATAGCTTTGAGTTTGTCAACGAAATGGCGAATAAAGTCGCTAGTATTGCCATGACGTGGAACCTAGATTTGAACGACACTGTAGCGACTGTCATCTACAACGAGCCCGCCTTCGTGTGGACTTTCCTGGGTAAGTACAACGAGCCCGCTTTCGTTTGGACATTCCTGGGTAAATACAACGAGCCCGCCTTCGTGTGGACATTCATGGGTAAATAAAACGTGCCCGCCTTCGTGTGGACATTCCCGGGTAAGTACAACGAGCCCGCCTTCGTGTGGACATTCCTGAGTAAGTACAACGAGCCCGCCTTCGTGTGGACATTCCTGGGTAAGTATACCAGGTGGGTCCGTGAAATGATTAATACTTCAAAAAGAGTTAGGATATTTTAACGAAATCACAAAAATGGTTACATACTTTTGATATTTTGATATTTGGAGAAATTAATATTTCATTTCATTTTGGTAGATTTTTCGTAAATAAAAATTACAAATTTATAAAACAAAAATATTTCTTTTTGACACTTTGAATGGTTGTGTAGTACACGGCGGACCTCTTTCAAGCGTAATCCAAATGTTAAAAATGTAGAGCGACTTCATTTAAAAATTGTAACGCATATAATCATTTCCTTTAAACTGACAACATTATAGTAGGTATAAAATACAGTATGTTTAGTTCGAAAACTGAGTTGTGTGTTTCAACACATACATGAACATTTTCATATAGTGAAAACAATCTTCATGTTTTATCACTTTTTTATTTAGATAAAAGCTAATATACATTATGAGTGAAAAAAATCCATTACATAAAATGTCATACAAACAAGCCTGAAACTTCGTTCAGAGATTATCATATACTATGACGTCACAAACACGTCACACTCCATCGGCCTTCATCAGTTAATTTTTGGAAGGATGCATTTTATCGGAAAATCTTGGAACTGATGTTCGTTGCATTTATCTCTTTGTTGGTGCTTCATGACTTTTTTTTATTTCTGTGTTTGCCACAGACACAAAAAGTAAAAATGCGGATACACAATATCCTTTAAGTCATCAACCAGGTTCTGTTAATATTTCTACCAGGAGATATCTTCAGAAAGAGCCGGCATTAAACCAATAAGGTCAACGTGTACATTTATTTTGTTATCGTCTAAAAAATCATCAGCTTTTGGTTTTTATTTGTTGAGAATAATCAACGAAATAATTAACATTTTTGAAAGTCTTGTTATAGTCTTTACATAATTTACTTATGTATCACCACTCGTTTATGTCGAAATCAACAATAATTTTCCAGACAACCAGCCCGAGTTCCACGCCCTTTTTCAGCAACGTATGATTTTTGTCCATGCCGATTTATAACTAGTTATCATTCTGAATCAGTATTATTTCATTCTGAATCAGTATTATTTCATTCTGAATCAGTATTATTTCATTCTGAATCAGTATCTATCAGAGGTTAACAAAAGCTACACTCGTTTTAGGCTTTGCCTTTTCATATTATATGTGTAGTATACATTATTGTGTATTCAATTTTGATAAAACTATTTAGAATACAAATAATGCTGACATAATTAAGTAATTATGCAAATCTAGTATACAGTAGGCTTAATGATATTGATATAATTATTTAACCATACAATTCAATATGAAGTAGATCAATATATGTAGTATTACGAGTGATATGAAATGTAGTATTACGGGGTGTTAGAATAGAGGCTAAGCCTTCAGTGGTATCAGTACACAATTTATCATGGACTTAAGGCCTGGTTTTCATCTTCAACTCGTGAACTTTGCTTTTCGCATAGGGAATGAAATGGAATCGGAGTCGATTGAAATATAGAAGAGCCGGAGTGAAATTTCACATGAGAAATACGAAAATAGACCGAACATCTACTATTATCGTCTGCCGGATCACCAAACTACTCGGTCCCGGGGCGGAGAACGACGTATAACGCCAGTTACCGTCGTATGTCCGTTGCCTACTAATCAGTTAACATCAGTGCGATGAGGTCAAAGTTCACGGGTAGACTCGGGTCCGAGCAAACTCATGTACATGATTGTTTGGGTAAGTCCGGGAACCCTTTCTTTGGGGTCACATTTTCCACATTACACCGGTCCGGTTGTATATAAAGCAAAATAAAAAATGACATAAATGTAATTATTGTACTGGAAAATCTGGCAAATATTAAGTAATAGGCCTTCAAGATGTACGCCGATCTCGTAAATTTTTCAAATTGTTTTTTTTTTCAAAACACACCATTTTTTCATACCATTTTAACATCACTTCTATCTATAATATATTAAATATAACTCAGGTGTGTCGTTTAATTCTAAGTGTTAATCGAACTAAAAGGAATTCCTAGCAACAGGTGTGATATCGGATGACTGGCGCACTGCTAATGTAACCCCCACCTCCAAGAAGGGACATTAGTACGATACATCTAACTACAGGCCAATTTCCCTCACCACTATCTGCTGCATAACATCACCAAAAACCTTCACGCAGGCCAGCAGACTGACGTGTTCATCATGGACATTGCGAAAGCCTTCGACAAGGTCAACCACAGTCTCCTCATCCACAAACTCAGCGATAATGGGATACGCGGAAAAATCAACTCCTGGATCGAAAACTGGCTAGCTGGAAGGTGAGAGCTCCACCTCGGTGGGTGTCGACTCCGGTGTCCCCCAGGCCTCTGTTCTAGGACCGAGTCTCTTCATCTACTACATCAACGACCTGCATGAGTCTTTGAAGTCCACCATCAGACTCTTCGCAGATGACACCATATCCTATCTCACCATTACATCAGAGGGCAGCGGTAAGACCCTACATGAGGACCTCGATAAGCTGACCAAATGGGAACGGTTATGGTGTATGAAATTCCATCCTGACAAGTGTAACATCATTAGACTCACCAACAAGAGAAACCCAACGAAGACCAACTATCACTTACAAGGCCACTATCTACAGGAGGTCAACACAGCCCCCTATCTAGGTGTCACCATCTCCAGCAACCTTAGATGGGACACACACATTAAGAAGATAACAGGGAAGGCAAACAGAACCATGGGCTTCCTACGGAGAAATATGAAGATTACATCTACTCAGATCAAGACACTAGCATACCACGGCCTGGTCAGACCTTTGCTGGAATATGCATCCTCCGTATGGGATCCGCACACCCAGCACAACATCAACATCATCGAATACATCCAGAGAAGAGCTGCAAGGTATGTCACAAACCGTCATCGTAACACGCCCAGCGTCTCTGATATGCTTCATATGCTCAGGTGAAAACAACTACAAGAAAGGAGGAAAGAAGCTAGACTAGTGATGTTATACAGGATTGACAGAGGAATGGTTGCCATCAGTAAAGAAAACATATTGCTACCACCAAGACGACTTGCCAGAAACACCAACACCAGATCCTTCCAACTCCTTACCATACCTGCAGAACTGATTCAAGAAAAATGTCTTTCTTTCCAAGAACTGTACGTGACTTGAACGCCCTACCACCAGACATCACAGATGCAGCCACACTCTCGGCCTTCAAGGCCAGAGTGACGAAGCTCTGAAACCCTTAAAGCTTCGTTTATCCTGTTTTTAACTTACAAACTTATTTTTACCGCGTCAGTCCTGTCACATGCGAAACTGCCACATATTGCAGAAGCATCAACCTGTTGATGGAGGCAATTACTGGAAAAAGAAGAAGAAGAAAAATAGTTTTACAAATAGTTCGGGGAAAATATGTTGTTTTTTTTAATAAAATGTTGCATATTTCAATACAAAAGCTAGATTCATAAAATACAACTTACATAATTCAAGCATACTAATAATTTTACTAGAATTCAGAAATTATTTTATCAATGTCATTATCTTATCAATCTTAATTTAAAATAAAAATGTTGTTGTAGTTCTTGTATAATACGAAGAAAATAGGCCTTCTTGGTAAATATATTTAAAGCAAATAGGCCATGACACTAGACTATATGCTGTGCTCTGTGCTGTCTCAGTATTTTGTTATGTATGATGAATGTAGTGTACACTAATGGGACTTTAGGCACAAAGAATTCTCCATGTTCATCATCATAATCAGATATATTTCTACAGCCCTGTGTATGAAATTCGACTCAGAATGCTAAATGCCATTGCGTCTACTTTGGTTTGGGGAAGTTTACCATATATACGGTTTTTATAATAATATAGCTTGTATTATCATTTTTTATCATTTTGTTATCATTTTGTATACCCACGACACTGAAGTAATATCAATACGAAACATCGTTATCTTGAATAAACAAAACCACACTCTGGCTCTCAAATGATCTGACACTATTCATATAATTCCTTTCTCCAAGCTTTTCTAATAATAGCCTGAGGGACGCGATACATTATATAATCTCTCACTCCTGTGGGTAAAGATAGAGAATGCCACAGGGTAAGATCTGTAATGTTTAGCACAATTCTTTGCCGAAGGAACATACATTTATATTTCTACTTTTGATACACAAATGTAACATTGTAGGAAACCTTTACATGCCAGAGTAAATGTAATAGATCGATATCTGAATAAATAAAACAAGAAAAAACCCACTTATTAAGTACTTGAAACGCGTACCACCTTTAGTTTATTAAATAAAATTATTAATATTTAACTTACATTCGGATAAGATGTTTGAATCACACTTTTTATTGTTCAATACCAATCTACAAATCAAATCACAAGGGGTGTTCCATTTGCTAGGTCTACAGAAAGTAGGACTTGCGGATGCCTTCATAAACTACCATCTAACAGCCAAACCTTTGCTGCACTCTCTTAAGGTCAGCGAGGCAAAGGTCATTATCGTAGGAGAGGGTAAGACAAATTGTGGATTTTCCATGTTATATCCTTATTAGTAGGTGATATTTGCCGGTCAGAACTCCACACAGTCCGGAAATAACTATAAAGGACTAATCTATATGGAGGGAGATAATTTGTGTAAGAAATGTAGAGGTAATTAATGCAGGGGTGGACGCCACGTGACGGAGGTTACTAATGGGAGGAATGGGGAAATGTGTTTCATGGAGAAAATCAGAAAAAACTTTATGTAAAAGAATATGGCTAAGGTAAATGTAAAGAAAATGCGATATTCAGTACATCCAGCCTTGCATAAATTATTTCTGCATACATTGCTATGATTAACCTTCATTGTTATCATGCATACGTACAACTTTATGAATGGTGAACATGTAATGAATGTGTAAATATTCATAGAAAACGTTATCTTTTAAATAACTTCGCAGTATTCTTTCGTTTTAGGTTCCTCTGATTTTTTCCATCAGTCACCTTAACCAATTTTCGAATAAGCAACCTCCGCACATTGCTTCGTAAACTATCTTCACATTGCTTTCACCGTTACATAGATTATCTCACCTGCTTTCCTGTTATTTCTGGAATGCGTGGAGATTTGACCGTCAGACGTCGCCTTCTCATATTTTTGTATTTATTTAATACATTTGCAGTTCTATAAAATAATATCTCCATAATTATGTTAAAATAATTGGATGACAAAGGTCAAACTGACCGATATATTGTTAAATATAATAAGCAGAAGAAAGTACGGGAAATAAAAAGAAAGGACGCTGCTTGTGATATGCAGTACTTCATCAAAGTTGAAAAACCATCGTTAGTATCAAGCACATGTAAATGAAGAAATTTATCTCCAGGTGATGAACTGCTCGAGTCGATATTGGCCATAAAAGATGGATTACACGACACACCGATTTATGTCCAAGGAAAGTCAAATTCTGAACTCCCTCCTGGCTTCTTGTCCATGGAGGATAGGATGACATGTACAATCCCTGCTAATATATGTAAATCACTACGGTCAAATGTCACAGATACGTCCCCAATGTGCTTTATATACACATCTGGAACAACAGGTATGACAAAGTATTTCAAGAATATTATTATATATATGTCTTCTAGCCATATGTCAACCATGGAAAATGGCTGGATTATAACAACTTATATTCTTCAGAGAGCTACATTTAAGTTATTGTAAATTCCAAATCGAGGTCAGCTCGTTCAGTCAAGTTTTCATAATATTAATCTTCCACCCTTCAGGGCCACTTCAGCATTGTGAGAGACATATAAGCCAGTAGTAGTATATACGTCTCTGGTATTGTCAATGTGAGTCGGTAGCTACAATAGTTTTATCGATGCGTTATTTTCTCAGACTGTAAAATTGAATGTTTGGACGTTTTCATATAGCCTTAAAGATTAGAAATGTAGTATAACCATACTTTTTTTTAATTCTTCAGCAATAATTGGGATAGGGATTGCCAGGGTTGAAGGGCACTGGGTTCAATCCCCGGACAATGATTGCCCTCAATCTAGGAGAGTTTTCGTTCGCCATACATATTGTATAACCTTGATCGCTTTTACGAATAATATATATCCAGTATCAAGCTTATTAAGATGTCGTTTTTGGTACTATGACATTTTATATGATAAGCATTCAACAAGTTTAATTATGGTGGTATATACAACTCTATATTAGGAAGTGTTAAAAATAACTATTTCAGGTCGAAGCATTATCGGTCCCAGGGGAAAATCACAGGTGCGTTCCCCTGGGACCGAGGATGGGCATTAAAGGTCTTCGCTAATCATATTTGTCGACATTTTCGAATCCCGAGTCATATATTCCACCTCAATATACAAAAACATGTTGACTATATCTATTCAACATCGGCGCCATCAATAGTTATTAATATAAGTTGTAAAAACTTGTTTCACAATTGTTGTAAAATAAATAAAGTTAAAGGATGTTATACACTCCATTACCATAATTAGGATACACGACTATTGTATTGACTAATTCATGTCTATGGAATAAATACACTGCTTTCTTCTCAAACAATACAAATATATCATTATATAACCTCCTCTTATGCAGGACTTCCGAAACCCGCCATTATCAACCAAGCCAAGGGGATAGCTACGTCTAAGATGTACAGCTTGTTTGACTATAATGAGAAGGACGTGGTGTATGTGGTGACCCCACTCTATCACAGCGCCGCAGCCACAAACTGTTTCTTCAACTCCATAGACACAGGTACTGCGCACGACTGTCACAGACCACTTGAACATTTGACTGCGGTTACAAGAACGTCAATTCTTTACAGTAGCTTAAGTTAAGATGTTCTTTTAACTTCAATAAAGCATGACCTAAAAAACCCAAATAAATAATCTTTATTTAAAGTCGTGTATATTGTCAACAACACACATAAGCTCTGTAGAGCTTTTATTACGAAGCCGGTAAGGGAACAAATTATGTTTTCGTGGTAGAGGAAAACCCACGGGGATAAACCACCGTGCCATCGGAGGAATAACAACTAACCCTATCAAACATCAGTCTCTTTTTTTTCGCCACCGCTGGGGATCGAACCGAAATTCTTGGGAGAGTGAGTGATCTGAAGCTTACGCTTGATTGCACATCGTAGAAAGGGTATTTTAAGAAACCGAATGCTATTGTTAAAGTATACAATCACACTCACCCAGCATTAACTACACGATATAACAGCAGACTTATTTGCCTCCTCGTTACATGCGTATAAATGGAGAATCTTAATCTATTGAAAGTAGCAATACTTGCTTCTACCCTATCATGTCAAAGAGGAGGATTGATATTTTCCAAATTGTAGTTTGTTTCAGTTCAGTCGATGTTTTACCCCGTTTGCAAATAATGTTAATACCACGCCCTACATCATGCTTAATACCCAACAGGTGCTACGATGGTGATACGTAAGAAGTTTTCGGCCTCACATTTCTGGGAGGACGTGAGAAAACATAACGTCACTGTGATACAATACATCGGGGAACTGCTCAGATACATTGTTGCTGTGCCGAAGGTACTGAAATTTTCGCTGCAGTTTAATTTTCGCCTATTATTCATTATTGTAGCGAATATAAGTAAACAACGCAATGGATGTAGTAATCAAATGTAAAGGGCGAAATTAACTTTTTGCGAAAATTGATTTCATGGGCAAAGGGTGAAAGCTTGACTGGGTGAAAACTTCGCGGTATACAGTATTCGGTAGAAGGACAACCACCATACGTGTACCTACCTGTCTGATTATTTTTGCAATCATAGTTTTAAACGTACATCCGAGATCTATAACTTACTGAAAGGAGATGGCAAATACATTATTCTTTTTTTAATTTTGTCAAAAAAACAAGATATTGAATTCCGGATGTGATTTGTCGTTAGTATTCTCTAATATGTAGGGGAACTTGTGTTCGACATTTTGGTTTGCGACATGTGCAATTGTTTTATAGTTGTATACATTTCCATATTACATTTATGATATCATTTACAATATTGTTGAGGCTGTACCTCTTGGTATTTATTTCATACCCTTGCCAACATTCATCAGTCACCACTAGATGGCGTTCATAACGTCCGTGTTGCCTATGGGAATGGCCTCCGACCCGATATCTGGAAAGAGTTCCAAAGTCGATTCAAAATTCCTTGGATAATGGAGATGTTTGGTGCCACTGAGGGGACGGCCGCCATTGTGAATACGACCAATAAACTTGGAGCTATAGGGAGGTTGTCGCCTTTGGCAGTAACTATTTTCTGTTATAATATTCTTGTCCCTTAACTTGGAACTAACGATTACATTCTTTTATTTTTCAAATTCAGATGAATCTATATTCTTAAGATCTTAGAAAGTAACCACTTATCTTATAGACACAATTTGTATGTCTTTAGTTTAATTTACTTATAAATATCTACCTTAAAGTCCAATCAGTAAAGAGTTTTGATTTTGTTTTAGAACGTCATGGCCGCTGTAGGGTTCCCCATGGTACGATTAATCAAGTATGATCTCATAGAGGACGCCCCTGTTCGAGACAAAGATGGAAGATGTGTTACAATTAGACCTGGTTTGTTTGGTTATGTAACGTTTTCTGTCGTATTAAGACTATATCAACGATATTTTTTTACTTCAATTAATTCAATGAAATGGTTTAATAGTCTTATTTTAGGAAATTAAGAACAATCAATTTATGCATTGGTAAGATTTTGCAAAACGTTTATAAACGACAGAAAAAGTATCACTTGCAATACAAAGAAGGAAGCACCTCTTTAAAATTCGGTAAATCGACGCAGAAAGTCCAATAAACTAAATATCTACATTGAGCAATTTTGTCCATTCAGGACTTGTCAGTAGCACTTAAGGCCAGACGAATGGATATTCGAACTATATTCAAATATTCAAATGTAAATCAAACACCATCTACGCGAAGGTATTTCTTTATGATGCATACAAACTAGTTCTTCCAAGTGTTCTAAACATGATAATTTCCTGATAGTTTCTCGCAGGTGAAGTTTAAAAAAACAAACAGGAATATTGTTTTCTTGGAAATTTTGATGCTCTTAAAGGCAAATGAGAACTTAGCATTGGCATCCTCATATTTTAGTCAAGAAAAGAAAAATTCTGTTTCGATTTGCAAAATAAATTTATATTATAGAAATATTTGACACTTCTTTGTCACTTTTTGATTACTAGGTGAACAAGGGCTGTTCATTTCACCAATACCGGACACACACACTGGTTTCTACAAAGGACCAAAAGAAATGGACGAGAAGAAGATACTGAGGGACGTATTCGTGAAGGGTGATTTCTACTTCAGCTTCGGAGACCTTGTGTTCCTCGACAGAGATTATTACATCTATTTCCGGGACCGAGTGGGGGACACGTTTAGGTGCGTTCGATGACTCTATCATCATTATATAATTATAAAAAGAAAAGTAAAAGTGTTGAAAACTAAATACAATATCACACTTAGGTTTTGCGTCAGTTTTGTTCGGGACATAACTTCCATGTTTAAATTCTCTATTCTTATTGGTCGTGTTTTGTATTGTTTTGAAATGGCATTGTCTGGATTAGAACCTATGGACATTTTGTTATTAATTAGGTTAGTTTTGTAACATCATAAAAATTCCACTACAAGTTACTAGTTAGGAGAAGGTGCCTGTATCATTTTTTAAAAGATCCTTGAACCAAGACTTTTAAAATATGCGCTAGTGCTCCAACTATTCTGTCATCAGTCAAAACATGACATCACAATAGCAACTACATTTAGCGTGACGTCGCACGTTGATTTGTTTATGCAGCCAAACTTTATGGAATGGTCGTGACCAATGTATTGACCAATTAATATTATCTAACTTGTTACTCTTATAAATGTTTATCGAGTAATCCAGGGGTAAACATCTAGGGAAACACTATTAATTGTAATCGGAATAAGATTCATCAGTTTGGAATGAATAATAAGCTTGTTAAGCTTGTTTTTAACACAAACAGGAATTGAAAACTTATTTTGTGAGCTTTCGAAAATTCTGATTCTTTATCAATCAAAGAGTGCAAATGACACAATCTACCAGAAAAATGTGGGGCAGCATTGGGGAGCCTAGTATCACTCGTTTTTGCTAATTTATTTATGGACCATATGGAGCAGAAGGCCCTCACAACTGCTCCGATGGAGTGTCGTCCTAAACTATGGCTATATATGTTGACGATATCTTGGAAGTAATCAAGAAAGGTGAGGTTAACAACCTATCAACCCACCTAAACCAGGCGGACGATATATGCGCCATAAAATGTACACCTGAAGACGAGGCAGACAGAATACTATTAATTCCTTACCTGGATACCCTCATTATAAGAAGAGCTGACGTTTCCATCAATTTGCTGGTATACATAAAAAACACTTGCACAGAGAGTACCTCAACTTCAATTCACATCATCCATTGAATCCTACGTTGGGAGTAGTTCGAATATCCTGGACAGATGAATAAGCATCGTAACTGAACAGGAAGACATTGAATTTGAAAAGCGAGATATCAAACAGGTACTGACAACATTTGGATACCCCTAATGGCGGTGCAAATGGTCCAAGAAACAAAAACCCCAAAAACACATAAAGAAAAAGCAATCGGCATGGTCACTATCCCATACATAAAAGGGGTGTCTGAAGCACTTTCAAAAGTCTTGCACAAACATCGCATCAGCATGCCCATGCGATCACGACACACCATCAAGCAACTGGGATGGTTTACCGAATTCCATGTAACAGCTGCAACCTTACATACCTCGGGAAAGCTGACCAACAATTCGGGACACGCCTAAAAGAACATCAGAAAGAAATACAAGGAAGACATTGGAGAAATAATAAAATAAAACAGCCATTACAGACCAAGCTAACACACACAACAACATCATAGACTGAAACAACTAGGAACTGCTTGAAACGGAACTTGACTGAAAAGTAGGGGAAATCAAAGAATCTGGGTTAGGAGGGATGGCATTCGATAAACAGAGACGAAGGGGGCCACCAGCTGAGTCCTCTTTATGACCCCATTTTAGCATCCACTGAGGGGCGGAATGGGTAAACATGTTACCCGTCCCCCTGACTGCCTGCAGTATTAGAGTGCAATTGGGTGAAATGTCTCTATGAATTTTGACCGCTGACTTTACTGATTCGGCAGACTGTGGCTTAGTGAGTTGTTTTAAGCGGTTTAGAATCGAGACACCGGTCATTTGCACTCTTTGCTTGACAAAGGAAACAGAAGTTTTCGAAAGCTCGCAAAACAGGTTTGCAATTGCTGTTTGTGCTCTAAGCAAACTTGGCCTTTAAAATTGTAGTTATGAAAGAAATTAATTCCCAATATAACGCTATCCAATTTAGCTTTCTACAATGACATTTTTAGATTTCACTTATCATAACGATATTTAAGATATAGAGTTAAAATCCCAACAAGCTCAGAAAGAATATAAAAAGACATGAGACCGATTTTATATATTACTTGAACTAAACGCTGTTCTACTGTATAACGGATTCCATGGTATTAATCCTGATGGGTTTGTTGTTAGGTGGAAGGGGGAGAACGTATCGACACGGGAAGTGTGTGATGCCCTCAGTACGATAGATTTTATCCACGACGTTAACGTGTACGGGGTGCATGTACCAGGTAAATATGATACAATAACGTGATAGTAGCCACACGTGGTGTAAGAAACAATTAATCTTAACCAGCAACCAGTCTTATGGTTTTCTGAAGGATATCTACGATCTTTCCCTCTGGTTTGGTCTCGCCTTGAACTCACCAAGGTGTATTTTACTCTACTGCTTGGTATTTATCAAAATGTACAGACTTGATTACGTGGAGACAGCTTGGATTCCAACTTTTCTGTCAATGCTTCACATTTGTCGCTTACATCAATAACATATTGCATCATAGATAATATTGTCTAAAATTTATTACTTTGCCAGTGATATATTTGTACATAATTATTATGTCTTAAGGTGGGTCCATCCTTCTCAAATTTAGCGCCATGCGCGGAAGCTCCGCATGTTGGCTAAATTTCAGTATGATTTACGGTAACCTAACGACACCACGCTTGGATTTAAAAACTGTTATCGACAATTATTAACAACAATTAAGAACGTCAAAAAAAAAAAATGAAAACTATCCAGTCCGACCATCTTTTATATTTAAATAATCTTATTTAATGTGATATTGAACTCTCGTAAATAAGAACGAAAGTCGTTTACACCGGAAGTTTACTATCGCAGCTGATGACAGCGATATGACAGCTGCTGAGGATGAAGTCTGAAAGTGAAAGAATATGTGCTTTCCGTTGTTATTGCTCACTTATCTACATGTTGAATAGAACAAACGATAATCAGAGTTTATCATCACTTGAACGGAATAGGTAATTTCGTACGATGGAAGAATTATGACCGTTACCCATCACACTGACTGCGACACTTCTCTACTCTACTGAACAGCTGATCATGAAGGTCTCGACGTTGAACGTTTCATTCGAAGCATTACAGCAATTCCGTCTTGACTGTTGACAGAGATTTTGTTCAGAAATAAATAATAAATGGCAGTGTA